TTGATGGTATTTTTAAATTACCCATTTAAATGATGACTTCATAGTTCATCTGAACTCTTTGATGCATAACACTTGCAATGTCTTTCGCTCCTATCTGACTCTTATAAACTTTGTAATAAATATCAATTGTTTCAAAAGCGATATTAATTTGTTTATTCTCTTTTTCACAGGAATCTTCAGGCTTCTTCCACAGAAGTATCCACAAGCCAACAAAAACAGTCTACTCAGCAAAATGCTTGCAACTGCTGCTAGGTAAATATTTTAATCATTATTTCGTTCATACGGTAGCAATTTTCATCTAGTTTTTAATGAAATTATTGAATGATGACTTCATAGTTCATCTGAACACTTTGATGCATACCTTTGCAATGTCTTTCGCTCCTATCTGATGGCAATCTTCTGATTCTTTAAAAGCTTTGAACCTTGATTGGACCTAACCAATTGTATATTTTTCCAGGTATTTCACGTGACAGCTTCATGATGATGATGATTTAAATGACAACCCAAGATATTAAAAGGTAATTCTTTTAGCAGAAAGGCAATACTTATTTAAATACAAAATATCTAATGAAATGATGATTTTTGATAGGGACATCTGATTATAATGCTGTTAACATAACTATCTCTCCTGATTCACAAACGAAATTTAACTAATTTATTTTTAAACAGTGCATTTTTCTCAATGGTGTCTTGTTTTTGTTTGTAGGTATAGCCTGATTTTGAAAATCATCACAAACAAGCATCTTTGATGGAATAGGTAAGTGTAACATTAAAACTAAATAAAATGTATTGTCTGTGAGCACCATCAAATGATGAATTTTGATAGGGACATCTGAAACTGATGCTGTTAAGGTAACTATCTCTCCTGATTTTATTTTTATTATGAAATTAATACTAATTTCCATTACATTATTTTCATTTACGATTCTCTTTTACAGGTAATGAAAAACTGATGGAGTTTCCAAGTGATGGTGATGAAAGTAATAAGGTAAGTTTTTTTTTTTAAAAGGTTTTAAAAAAATAAAATTAACATCGGAATCTTTTTTGTCTTCAAATGATGACTTGACCTTCAGGTCTCCCTCAACAGAGCGAACCCAAACAACCATGTTGACCAACCAAATGCGTCTGATTACTAACTCAACTGTCAATTTTATCATTTTACACTTATCACGAAGTTATTAATTCCCTACTGCTTTGTTCTAGATGGGAATTGACAATGTGGGTGATACAGGAGAAAATGTTGGAGTAAATTAATGTAAGTAATAAGTATCTATAAGGACTTTTTGTGCCGATGCAATAGCGATTCTGTCGCGCGTTTGCATCGATACAGTCGCGCTGCTGTAGCGCTAGACTAACGCGTGTTAGTAACGATGCTGTACTACAAATTATAGTCGCCGTGCCTAAAATAAATCTTGTTATTGTTAAGCAAATGCCACATTTGTTGAAAATTCAAGTTAACTTTCAAATGATGACTTGACCTTCAGGTCTCCCTCAACAGAGCGAACCCATACAACCATGTTGACCAACTAAACGCGTCTGATCTTAAAATCCTACTCATACAATGTTACTTACCTGTCACTCAAATAATAATTGTTATACTTTTTTCTAGATGCTAGTGGATGATGCGGTTATACACTAATACTGGGAGATACAGAGACAACTCAACAGTCAAATGTGTAAGTAACTTTATTTGGTATCTTTAAGGAGTGTTGTTTCTCAATGTTATTATTGGAAGCCAAATCATATTCTAAGGATTTAAAATTAATCTAATATTCCTGGACCAAATATCTGCTCATAAAAAACTCATTTATTTTTGTAAATAGGCTTTTAAAAAGCACTTTTACACGTCCCAGTATTAACCCTACCACTGCTTCGGGACAGTAAATGGGTCAGTGCTAAGAAGAAGCTGCACAGATTGTAATGCTGACTAAAGTTTAATATTTGTATATTACTTCAAAATGATGACTAGACCTTCAGGTCTCCCTCAACAGAGCGAACCCAAACCACCATGTTGACCAACCAAACACGTCTGATCACTTACTACACTGTCAATTATCATTTTACATTATCACAAATATAAAAATTTACTATTATCTTGTTCCAGGTGAAAATAGAAAGGAATGGAAGATGCATACATTAGAAGGCATTGAAGTAATGTGTAGTGTAAGTATCTTTATTATGTACTGCTTACAGTTAATTTAAAGCCGGGTCTCCAGCGCGTGTTTTGCTGTACACAATCAACAAGAACATCTCAACATTCAACAAAATGAGGGTTTTCGCGAATGAAAGATGGCGGATGGAGAAGCTAGATGGCGTGACGTGGATGTGGGGTCTGACTGCTGCGTGATTGGTGGATTTAGACATAATATCTGTCAATGTATTGCCATCTGGCGGATTTTTCATTCGCGAAAACCCTCATTGCCTGCAAAAAATGTTGAATATTGACATGTTTTTGTTGACTGTTTAGGAAAGGCAAAATCGCGCTGGAGACCCGGCTTTATCGTTTTCTAACGCCAATTTCAAGTTAACTTTCAAATGATGACTTGACCTTCAGGTCTCCCTCAACAGAGCGAACCCATACAACCATGTTGACCAACCAAACGCGTCTGATCACATACAAATGTCCAACAAATCATATTAAAAACTATTTTAGATTTTTAAACAATGTTATTTCTCCACAGGTATGAAGACTAGTTGCAGATCAATGAAGACTTGACTATCAAAACGCATTTTATCTAGGTACATATAAAAGCTATTTTTTTAGATATAACCCTTATTAGTGTCCTAATCGCAACGCCATTTACTGACCATTTAGTGTATCAATACGGAAAATGTCTAGTTAGTCTTTTAGTATTTTCAGTTTACTGCTTGCTGTCTGAACATTCAGAGGAACTCTTTTAAATAAGAACTTCCTTTACAAACAGACAGAGATCAAAGTGGTCAAAACTGCTGGGGTTTGGGCCTCTGTCCCTGCTTCAGTTATATAGATTCACGACACTGCTTTTATGTATTAATTACTCTACCGAAATACTACTCAAGAGACAAAGATTAATATGTTTTTTTCATTAATTTCAGGTACTGGTCGTCAAAGCTGATACAAGGAAAGCTTCAATGTAAACATAGCAAATATTCACTACGTTACAAGATTCGGCACATACCTACCTAGCCGTTATCAAAGTTATGTAAATAATTTGATCTTTTGGGCCCTATCAATAAAGACTACCTACCCATAATAATTGTCTCATTTCTATCTTCCCCGCCAATAGATATCAAGTCCAAATACATATCGACTGAACTCCGCTGTCTGTAATACATTTATACATGACCGATCACCCGATGACCGAAAATTAAAAATCCTTGCAACTTTCTAGTAAATATTAAAATAAACAGATATTTCAAATTCCAAATCCTTGCAATTAAGTTTCTAGTAAATTATTAAAATAACAGATATTTTTACAACAAATACTGATAAGATTGGAACGTAAATGAAACAACCCCAAATTCTTACAATCAACTTTATTCTTATTACTAAGCCCTACAAGAAGAACTTTCTCCTCGACGTCTCGAGCTGGTGGCGGCGGCCGGCGATGATCCACTCGTAGTCCCCGCGCTTCGAGTCGAAGGTGCCCTGCTGCAGCGAGACTAAAGCCTGGTCCGTGAGCACGTAGAATCCCGTCCAATGACCCCAAGCTACCCATCCCTATCGCTCGCGCGTAATTATGTTGCTGTCGCGCTCGCACACTCACTGCGGGCGCCCGTCGCACAGTCGCGACAGCAACGTAATTACGCGCGAGCGATAAGGATGGGTAGCTTGGGGTCATTGGACGGGATTCTACGTGCTCACGGACCAGGCTTTAGATCTAGCAGTTTGGCTTGTCTCTTCGTGGCACTAAGATTGGAACGTAAATGAAACCCCAAATTCTTAAAACCAAGTTTATTCTTATAACATTACTATCTAAGCACTATAAGAAGAACTTTCTCCTAGACGTCTCGAGCTGGTGGCGGCGGCCGGCTATGATCCACTCGTAGTCGCCGCGCTTGGAGTCGAAGGTGCCCTGCTGTAGCGAGACCAGCTCGAGCAGTTTGGCGCGCTTGTCTCTAGGCCTCAGCCTCGAGTATAGCGGGCAGCGGGGCGGGAGCGGCGGCGGCGCGGGAGCGGGGCGGGCAACGCAGACCCGTTCTCGAAACAAGCGGGCAGCTCGCGCGGCGCTTTAGCGGCGAAGTGTTGTGTTGTCGAGATATTTGTTTTTTTTCGCAAACGAAATGTCTGAACAACGGCGACAATTTTATTTCGATTCAAATTTATTCCTAACGCTTGATTTATTGTGGGCAAAAGGAGTGTGCTGCCCGCTCGCGCGCCGCTGCCCGCTCGTTGCCCGCTCCCGCGCCGCTGTTTTCGAGAACCGGTCTATTTGATTTTACGCATAAGATCCTGCCGCTCCCGCCGCCGCCGCTCCCGCCCCGCTGCCCGCTAAACTCGAGGCTGAGGCCTTAGGCACTAAGATTGGAACGTAAAATGAAACCCCAAATTCTTAAAACCAACTTTATTCTTATTACTAAGCCCTACAAGAAGAACTTTCTCCTCGACGTCTCGAGCTGGTGGCGGCGGCCGGCGATGATCCACTCGTAGTCGCCGCGCTTCGAGTCGAAGGTGCCCTGCTGCAGCGAGACTAAAGCCTGGTCCGTGAGCACGTAGAATCCCGTCCAATGACCCCAAGCTACCCATCCCTATCGCTCGCGCGTAATTCTGTTGCTGTCGCGACTGTGCGACGGGCGCCCGCAGTGAGTGTGCGAGCGCAACAGCAACATAATTACGCGCGAGCGATAGGGATGGGTAGCTTGGGGTCATTGGACGGGATTCTACGTGCTCACGGACCAGGCTTTAGATCTAGCAGTTTGGCTTGTCTCTTCGTAGCACTAAGATTGGAACAAATTAAACCCGAAAATTCTTAAAACCAAGTTTATTATTCTTATAACATAACTATCTAAGCCCTACAAGTCTACAAGAAGAACTTTCTCCTAGACGTCTCGAGCTGGTGGCGGCGGCCGGCGATGATCCACTCGTAGTCGCCGCGCTTCGAGTCGAAGGTGCCCTGCTGCAGCGAGACCAGCTTGAGCGTGAAGCGTGGTCCTAGCTCGAGCAGCTTGGCGCGCTTGCCGTCCTTTGTGAATTCGTATCTGCAAAGGAAAATACTAAACTTGATACGGGATCAGATGGTTACAGACTCACAGTTTTAAAAAAATATATTACAATTTGCTGTTTTTCTTACATACCTACTCGCAAAACATTTTCCATAAAAGTAAGAGACCTGTAATGCCAATTAGTCTGGCATTATTCTGCCAATTTGAGAGTCGGTACTTTGCTCCTCTATTCCTCATCAATGCTAAGTTACAGAGAGATGCCACACGGGCGTTGACGTTGCGTTACGGTGCCGCTCCGTAATTCTACATGCAGTAGGGGGGGGGCGGTGGGGGCGGTCCGCCCCGGGTGCCAAGCATCAGGGGGTGACACAAGTCGCGCAGATTAGTACTCACTGGCATATCTGCATGGCAAATCTGCGGTCTATGTCATGATATGGGGGGGTGGGGGGTGTGATTGTCTTCTTTCAATCTTCGAATCGGTAGGTAACCCCAAAGTGCTGGGGGGTACCACCAGGGGGTGTCATAGGATTTGTGACGGTGTACCCTTGTGGCATTGGTATAGGACTATCGACTAACTATAACAATATTTAGTAACTGAGTTTCTTGCGCTGCTTCTTAGCACTGGCCCATGTCCCAAAACAGTGGTAGAGTTGGGACGTGTGAATAAAGGTGCTTTTTGGGACAATTTGAAATTGAAAACTATTGCTAGCGAAGCTACTACGCACCTGTGGTGCCTGAAAAAGATGTAGTCCCGCTGGTTGTGGAAGGTGACGGCGCGGCGGCCGCGAAACTGCGGCTCGTAGTGGAACAGCGCTCCCAGCATGCGTCCCACCGTCATACCCAGTCGCGTGCTGAAGTTGTTCAGAATCACCTGGAATTTTGTGTTATTATGGTGAAAATATAGAAAACTAGCTTTCCGCCCGCGGCTTCGCGCGCGTGGACTACATTATCTACTATCTATTTTACGGAACCCTATTTTTTTCCAAAATAAAATTTATCCTATGTTACTCGTGGATAATGTAGCTTTCGAATGGCGAAATAATTTTTAAAAACGGTCCAGTAGTTTTTGAGCCTATTCATTACAACCAAACAAACAAAGTTTTCCTCTTTATAATATTAGTGTAGATTAGTGTAGACAAACAGCTTACAAAATTAAATACAATATATCCAAAGCCTACTTTTATGTAATGGGGGAAAATGTTTAGTTCATTGCAAACAAAATTAAAAGAAAGATTGGGGTTTTTATTGCAAGAATAAATTAGCTTCTAACACTTTTTCTTTCATAGAATTCAGTTTAGCCTTGTAAAACTGCTGACACAGATTGGATGCTGTATGTAGTTGTAAGTTTATATGTATGTAAATATTTTTTAGCACTTTGTGCTATGCATTACTCATAAGTTAGAAACTTTTATTTTTCAATTTATTCTGTAATTTGTAAAAAGTAATACAGATTACAGAAACAATCTTAATTCCTATTTTGTTCAGAAATTTGAATAGCTTACCTCAGGCCTGTGGGTAGTTATTTCTTTATGATCTTTCCTAAGCTCTGGTGTGATTTTGCAACTGGACAACCTGAAGTGAGCTGTTGGTCCGTTAGGTAAATGTATCAGTAAAAATCCATTAGGCTGCTTTTGATTCTCATTTACAATTATAACATCTGTGATATCTTCTCTAATTGCCGATTGCACTATGCGTTTCACTGATGACCTGAAAATAGGAAATAAATAAAATGTGAAAAAGTAAAGAAAGATAATTGTGTCAACATTAATCATTTGTATTGAAAGTGCACTGTAGGCCTAAGATGCGCGTGGTGATAACTTTTGTCGACGTCAAAATGTATGGGCAAAAACTATAAAATCGCGCGCATCTTAGGCCTACTGGACAACTTCTTCACAACATCACTGATAATAATAAAGCTGTAAGCTTAGTACTAGTAAAACTACTATTAATTTGTTCATTCGTTTCAGCCGAAAGACATCCACTGCTGGACAAAGTTAACTACTATAAATTAATACTAATACACAAATAAACAAACTTTAGTAAAACAGTCCCTAATCCGAATAAATAAAAATAACTACATACCTCTGTCTATACCTCGATATGGAGTTTGGTATAATCCTGGTGAGCTCTTTTCCAAATATTCGAGTCTTGGTGTGTGGATTGTCCGAGAAGGTGATGAGAACTTTAGGCTCATACGAATTCTGGTAATACGAAGATAGTTCATCCAGTTCCATATCCTTTTGTGCCTGTGTATAAAGATGATGATGGTTAGAGATGAGTCTATTAAGCCAGTATGTCTAAACACTTTAATTAATGTAAATATGTATGTAACACTTAGGCTGAGTTGGACCACCTAACTTTCACTGTAACTATAACGATAACCCACCGGTTATCTGTCAAACTTTGTACAAAAAAACACCTTTTTTTGTACAGTTTGACAGATTTTTGACGTTTGTCAAAGTTAAAGTAAGGTGGTGCAACCCAGCCTTATAATACAGCAGTTTTTAACACAGACTTTAATTTATATATTTCAAATTCATTTTGACTAGAGCTCGCAATTATTTTTCTTTGAACCTTATATGAAACTAGGCAGTATTGTTAGGTGCTATTCAGACTTAAAACCAATTTTCCTAAAGAATCAAGTTTGTAAAAATGTCATCAAACATCCTAACCTCTTCCTGCTCTTCTTCGTCGGCGTTGACGAGCATCGTCTCATCCTTCTCCCTGAGAGACTCCAAGGTGTGCGGAACTTTCTTGGGCACATCATCTCCTTCTTGCTTCTTCTCTAATTTACGCCTAGAATTACAAAAAACTTGTAAAAACAGCACTAAAACAACACGAGACGAAAGACGTAACCAAACTTACTTCTTTTTGTCCTTTCCGCGTGCCATTTTTGCTGTTAACTTTTAATTTGGTTAATGAAAAGTTTTTATGATTTTATAACAACTTATTACTCGATTTCAATCAATATTTCCTCGAGATTTTCACAAAATTAACGTGTTTACCAAACGTGCGTGTTGAATTATTTTGACGTTTGTTATCTGTCACTGTCATTATTTGACATGTCTATTTTCTTGGATTAAATAATGCAAAGAAATCAATGTTAGACAGCCATAAAATTATATTTTTAGGGTTCCGTAGCCAAAATGGCAAAAACGGAACCCTTATAGTTTCGTCATGTCCGTCTGTCCGTCTGTCCGTCTGTCCGTCTGTCACAGCCGATTTACTCGGAAACTATAAGTACTACAGTGATGAAATTTGATGGGAATATGTGTTGTATGAACCGCTACAAAATTATGACACTAAATAGTAAAAAAAAGAATTGGGGGTGGGGCCCCCCATACATGTAACTGAGGGATGAAAATTTTTTTTCGATGTACATACCCGTGTGGGGTATCAATGGAAAGGTCTTTTAAAATGATATAAAGTTTTCTAAAAAACATTTTTCTTAAAGTGAACGGTTTTTGAGATATCAGCTCTCAAAGTCGTAAAAAGTATGTCCCCCCCCCTCTATTTTTATAACTACGGGGTATAAAATTCTAAAAAAAATAGAGGTGATGCATGCTAATTAACTCTTTCAACGATTTTTGGTTTGATCAAAGTATCTCTTATAGTTTTTGAGATAGGTTGATTAAATTGACATAATAAGTTTATTATATTTGCTGCTACGGAACCCTTTGTGCGCGAGCCCGACTCGCACTTGGCCGGTTTTTTTCTTTTACAAATTGTTCGCTTTAGTTTGTGCTGGAAATATGGGAAATAAGAAGTCAATTTTACAAAACAGTTGAGAACTTGCGATATCTCGAAGGCCAGTTGAAATAATCATCGTCCGAAATCGCCCAATAGATGGCAAAAGCACCATTCAAAGAATAAACAATACTTGTTTCTGTGCAGTGCAAATCCCTTTTCTCACGTGTAAGAAATAAAACAGCATTTCATTAAGCTACATTTATTCAATTGAGCTGTACATCTTGGCGGGCGAGCTCCAGCAGCATGGGGTCGTCGAAGAACTTGTTGATGGACACGTCCTCGCTGAGCCCCTTGCGGCGCCGCGTCTTGACCATGAACTCGCGCGCCAGGTGCGTGGCGGGCTGCGGGCGACATGCTTAGGGCTGGCTTGCACCATCTTACCTTGACTTTTACAAACCTCAAAAGTTTTTCAAACTCCATACATAATGGTTAAAAAAAGGTGGAGTAACTCAGCCTAAGACTCTTTACTACAAGTCTAGCGCTAAACTGAGTCAGATCCTGATGTATGGGAGCGGCACGGGAGGGGTGACTGACATTAGGTTGTGACAGAGGCTCTGTCACAGAGTTTACAAATCTGAAGTCTTGCTCCCATACTTCGATACTTCAATCACTGACTGAGTTAAGTCAGTAAAGGGCTACACCTATAAATTACGCGACGCCAATAGGTACTAAGAGGCTTCCGAACGCCGGATCTACGCAGCGTCGCGTTATTTAGTTTAAGAGCGTTAGAAGTGTGTGTGTTCTAGTGCGCCGCATTGACGGCATTGTAGTTTTGTAGTCTTTGAACTTTGTTTGGGAAAGAAACTTTGGCGCTTCCCTTTTCTCACGTGTAATAAATAAAACAGCATTTCATTAAGCTACATTTATTCAATTGAGCTGCACATCTTGGCGGGCGAGCTCCAGCAGCATGGGGTCGTCGAAGAACTTGTTGATGGACACGTCCTCGCTGAGCCCCTTGCGGCGCCGCGTCTTGACCATGAACTCGCGCGCCAGGTGCGTGGCGGGCTGCGGCTCGAGCGGGCTGCGGGCGACATGCTTAGGGCTGGCTTGCACCATCTTACCTTGACTTTTACAAACCTCAAAAGTCTGTTAAACTCAACTCTCTACATAATGGTTTAAAAAAAGGTGGAGCAACTCAGTCCCTACAAAATGGTTAAAAAAAAGGTGGAGCAACTCAGCCTAAGAACTATTAGCGCTAAACAGAGTCAGATCCTGAGGTATAGGAGCGGCACAGGAAACCGCGAATGTCCTCGCGAGAATACGAGCGTACTTATGTTGTGTCCAAAGAAGCGATTCGGAACGCGAGCGTTTAAGGAGTAGTGTAAAATAATTCCGTATGGCCTTGACGCCGGATCTGTACGCAGCACAGCGCTGGATCCATAGAGTAACTTGGCTGGATCGCGCGCATTGACAACATTGGACTGAAGTTGAACTACTACTGCTCGTCGCAGGAACAGTCAATATCTTTATACCAAGACCAGTATGCAAACACTAAAGTTTTAGTTATGGGTGACAAAGAAGCACTGCGAAGTACGATCCGCATTTCTCACGTGTAATAAATAAAACAACATCTCATTAAGCTACATTTATTTTATTCAATTGAGCTGTACATCTTGGCGGGCGAGCTCCAGCAGCATGGGGTCGTCGAAGAACTTGTTGATGGACACGTCCTCGCTGAGCCCCTTGCGGCGCCGCGTCTTGACCATGAACTCGCGCGCCAGGTGCGTGGCGGGCTGCGGCTCGAGCGGGCTGCGGAAAAAACATAATGAATCTTTACAATAGGTCTAGCGTTTAACCAGAGTAAATACAAATGAGTAGGTCATCTTCATAGAAACGCACCGAGCGCGGTTTGTATGTAAACGCACCGAGCGCGGTTTGTATGTAAACGCACCGAGCGCGGTTTGTATGTGAGCGCGCCAATACGTATGCGGCGCGCACACACACACTGACAAAATACGCCGCAACTCCCCGCTAATCCATCCACCCTAAATTTTGTCAGTGTGTACGTGCGCGCTCGCATATCTCAGGCACTGACTTTGTTTTATCAATCAGATTTCAAATCACTCCGCTCAGCCTCAGCTTCGGTTTGGTAATCTGATTACTTAACACATCTCGCCTCTCCACTTTCGTGGAAACCATGATTAAGCGTACAGCCTTAAGCCGAGTCCAGACGGCTTCAAACATATTATTTAGTGTAATAGAGAAACACGGATCTCAACGCGACATATGAGTACTCACGGCTGACGTTTCTCTATTTTAATTACAATGGCACACGAAAGTCGCAAATCTTATAGTAGATGCAGCTGTAGTCCTCTCACCGTATAACAATGGTCTTATCCAGCGGGTCACCAGGCACGATCTGCCAATGGTGGAACACCTGCAGACAGAAGGCCTGGCCCTGCGTGTGCGTCCGCAGGTCCGTCTCGAAGCCGAACGAGTCGATGGCCGGCACGAACGCTTTGATCGTGTATAATGGTGAACCCGGCACGGGCGCGTCTTGCGTCACGTGACCTAGAAACAGAGAAGTCGAACTGAGTTTATGAAGAACTGGCAAGCAGTGAAAATAGGAAGACCACACGGGAAAAACAAAGAATGTCAAAAAAGTACAATTATGAGAAAAACAGTTTGACGCGCGGACATAACCGTTTCTTGCCATGGACAAACGAATACAAATTGAACTATTACAGTTGACTACGATGATTTTACCCAATTCTGCCCCCCTAGACAAAACGCACTTTTTGATCGAATCGAAAATCGACCACTTTTCGACTGTTTTGCGATTATAATTTGCACTTTGTCTAGACTATCTGATTTTTGTAATAGAATGTTTCCCTAAAAAGCTAACAGATGGCATTAAAAAGTAAGTTTCACAAAAAAGGGAAAAAGGTGACATTCATTGTTTTTCCCGTGTGGTCTTCACTGTCTGTTTGGTAGGGCGAGTAAAAACTATAATCAAATCAAATAGTTTATTCAGTACATAGCCTTTCTAGAGCACTTCACGTCTCAAATATAGCTTGCCCTACCACTACTTCAGGACAACATGTGAGAAGAAGGTGCTGAGAAGTGGCGGAAGAAACTCAGTCACCTTTGTCAGCCTCTTTTTCAATCAAATAACTTACTGAGAGTTAAAAACGAAGGTGTGTTATAAGAGGAGCAAGTCCATTAAGATTCATGCCAGAATCTTGATCGAGCTTGCCTGAAAGTAGTAGTAGGGAGGAAGGGACGCAGACCTTTGTACAAAATTAACTTTTGGGAAGCAAACTTAATTGATGCCCTTTTTCCTGGTAAGATGTTTTTACAAATATTAATGCCCATTTTCACCATCAATCCCTAATTTTTAAGTGACCCCTATGAAAACAAAATGCCTAGGCCTGTTATGTGTTACCATAGGGGTCACTTAAAAATTAGAGATTGATTGTGAAAACAATCTGCCTAATATAAACTCCTGTAATGTGTAACTGACCTCTTCGCTTTGCGAGCACGGTGTAGACTGCTGAGACACAGTCGGCGGGCGCCTGCACCTCCACAAATAAATAGGGCTCCATCAGACGCGGCGTCGCCATCAGGAACGCAGAATATGCCACCTACATACAATAATACAAGGGTGAAAATGCTTGAACAGGTTGCGCCACGATATAAAGCGTCCTGGAAAACACTGGTCTGTTAAGTGAAGGTACATAGCGCTTTTAACTTGACGTTAAGATTTGCAGTGAAGAATGAAAATTATTTCTTCAATGTCCATGTTGCGCCCTACCCAGTTTCAGTTGGGAGCTCAATTCTCGAGATTGTTGACAAGTATGTCTGTCTACCTCGGACAAACAAACAATCCAGCTAGGTATAGATATAGATAACCTAAGGATCGGAAACGTGGCCCCTCACTATAGGCCTTATATAGAAGCTCTTCAATATCTATCGAAAGATAAAGATGTAAATGAAGGCTTATTCTACTGACGGAAATTATTATGGCTTTGATTTTTTCTTATACGGTTGAACATTTCGCATTAACGACCAGACTTCTGCAAACCATTTGAGCATTGACGATGTTTAAGGCGGGATTGCACCATCTTACTTTAACTCAGTGGTTCCCAAACTTATTTAGTCTACTGCCCACTTTGAGAATAAATTATTTTTTAGCGCCCCCCATTTTTGTAGTCAAGAGTCGAGCTCAGTCGGTGTCTAAGAGTCCTCCTAGTAAATGACGCCTCCCAAGCCTCTACACAACGTCCCGATTTTTTTTCTGGGTCTCCGCCCCCCTTTAAGCCTGCAGCGCCCACAAGGGGGCGTTATCGCCCACTTTGGAAAAGACTGCTTTAACTTAACAAACGTCGAAAGTAACTCCATACAAAAAAACCGTTGGTTATAGTGACTGTTAGGCCCAGAACACACGGTGAAACGCAATTGCAACGAAACTGCTACTTCTAGTTACTTTTGTGTTGCATCTAAGTTTCTGCCATAGATTCCGTTGAGAGACCACACATGACGCGACCATTTCAAACCGGTTTCAAACTGGTTGCAGTTTGCGTTTCACCGTGTTTTCTGGGCCTTAAAGTAATTTGGTGCAACTCAGCCTAAATATTATGTACTGACCCTCCGAGCAGTGGGAATGATTTGCCCACCGCCTCTGTGCAGCGGCTCCTGTGCTATGACCGCGTCCAGGATCTTGAACTTCACGTTTCGGATGGGCTCCTCACATAGCGGGCCCTCACGCGTGCCCCATTGGAAACCTAAATAAACAAATTACAAATTAAAAAAAAATGAGGTAAAATCAAAATAAGACAGTGCTGAGCTTATGAGATCGAAAATGCTGAGAGTAGCAAATTGAGTTCTTGCGCTACTAGTGACATTTACACGAACGAAGTATTTACCCAAAATGTCTTTAACCTTATTTCAGTCCTCTGGAACAGGAAATCTAGTTTAAGATCTAGACTTTCTTAACTCACGAGTTACTGGGTTCGATTCTCACATTATGACACGTTAATTGAAGGCCACAAGATGGACCGACGAGACCTGATAAAGGTAGCAGGAAGGCGCTGGATGCAGGCCGCTACCAACCGTGCGATGTGGAAGTCATTGGGGGAGGCCTATGTTCAGCAGTGGACGTCCAATGGCTGAAATGATGATGATGATGATGAATAGAAGGCCTAGGCCTGATTAAGCACGTCATAAGATCTGACACCCGGCTTTTCCCAGGTGTCTGTTGTACACATATAAATGACAGAAGAAGACCTTCAGGCTTCAACCCGTTCCTGTAATACACAAGCTACTCTCAACTTGCCTTGCACGATGCTGTCCTTGACGGAGGCCAGCAGATGCTTGTCGACTTCGGACGGCAACGTGTCGTCTACTAAGATGTTGGGCCCAGTGGTGTCGGGCCCGAACGCCCAGATCGAACGCGCCGCTAGCAAGTCCCAGTCATATCTGGGGAAGAATTATATGGTTAGTGTATGTTAAAGTCCTTAAAGTCGTCTATAGTTCGACTACAGTAAAGACACTTGTTCCACCGACGACGAGAAAGTGACTAACGCTCCGCGATCATGGTAAGATTGTGCGAAGCACTTTAGCGAAGAATGTATCAACTATTATCCCGCAGAAAAACCCTGAGTTCCAAAATACTGAACTGTCCTATGCATGACATTGACAGTGGGGCGCCACCGTCAATACCGGATCGCTGGTTCCGATTTTTGCCATGTTGGAAACCATATAGTTGAACGATGGTAGCGCCCCCCTGTTATTGAGTTTGGCGGGACAGTTCATTGACAGATATGTCAAAATCCACCAATCATGCAGCATTTGGACCTCGCGTCTACGTATTGCCATCTGGCGGATTTTTAATCGCGAAAACCCTAATTGACTCACACGAGCAGAGCGCGGTAGATCGTCCGGTGTGAACACGGTTAACACTTAAGTTTCTGCTTCCGTCTCGCAGAATGATACCTACTATCGTCTCGCAGAACGTCGCTACCGTCGCACATAGGGTTGCCAGGCGTCCGGATAAAGCCGGACATAGTTAGGCTTTTTGATTGCGTGTCCGGCCAAAATAACCGATGTCCGGCCTGTCCGGCTTTTGTTAGGCTTTTTATATGGCTGCTGCGCCAGGCGAAAGTCGAGCCACAGAATAAGGCACGCACGCATCAGGACGTTAGGCAACCGATGATGATAGTACTCACTTGTGAGCTCACTAATTGTCCGGCTTTTAGGGTAAAATGTCCGGCCAAATGAAGCACAGAGTCCGGCTTTTGTGTTTTTGGACCTGGCAACCCTAGTCGCACAGAAGTACACTACAGTGTTGCAGAGGTGCCTCGCGTAATCGGAACGCGGTGGATCGTTCTGTAAAGTTTGTGGAGCTAGCTAATGACTGTGCCTCGTGGCAGCGTGCTCACTTGGTCTCTAATCTTTTCTTAAAGGTTTTAAACCTTTATTTGTCACCTGTCATCCGCTTTGCAATGGAGGCAAGTCGAACCTTAATTTCGAACTCCTATGTTCTTCTGATTAATTTCGTTGCGGGTCCAATGACAGTTAAACTTGACCTTGGATTCCGTGGAGGGTAGTTGAACGGGAAGCATGGTCGATCTGTTTTAATGGTTTCAATTTATTATTTAATGGACTTTAGTGTACAAATTTGGTGTTATTTTGTGTTCTAAAGTGCAGTGAAGTGATAAATTATAAAAAACATTGAAATACTTCGAATTTGAGCGCGCATCGGGTGTCGAGTGGGTTGTCGTATGAACAACCCGCTTTGGACCCGGTGGCGTCTCGAAACCTGCTTACGGGCATACTTAACTCCACGGAATCCATGAAAAATCAATAGAACTGAAACACCCACGTTCTATTGATAACTATGTCAATTAATTTTCACTCGACATTGGCAGAAATAAACCTCCCAGAGAGGTTTGGTTACCACTAAAAAAAAAAAAAAACTTGACCTTCACTGGTTGGGTTTTTGTGGCGGTCAAGCTGTAGATCCTGGCTACACAGGAGTTGCAGTGGTGGGAACGAGAGGTGGGAATAGTCCCGTGCTCACTTGGTCTGGAAGAACTCGCCGAGGCGCTTGCGGTCCCACGTGACGCACACGGGCCGGCCCGATGTCCTCGCCTGTGTGGAGCGTGGAGCTAGCTAATGACTGTGCCTCGTGGCAGCGTGCTCACTTGTGGAAACAACTTCATGTAAGTGATTCCATACTTTTGCTCGCAAGTGTAGTTTACTTGCTGCGTAATCTGACTGAACTGCATCATGATGACATCAGACCATCAGTGAAAAAATTTTTGTTTGGCAATATTTAGACTTAACAGATATTTACTATTTATGTATTCGTCATTAGAGTGAATAGACCAGAAAAAGAAATTAGTTTTTTAAAGGCCTTAGGTCTCTATTTTCTTAAAGGTTTTAAACCTTTGTTTGTCACCTGTCATCCGCTTTGCAATGGAGGGAAGTCAAACCTTAATTTCGAACTCCTCCTGTGTTCTTCCCGTCAAGCTGTAGATCCTGGCTACACAGGAGTTGCAGTGGTGGGAACGAGAGGTGGGAATGGTCCCGTGCTCACTTGGTCTGGAAGAACTCGCCGAGGCGCTTGCGGTCCCACGTGACGCAAACGGCGCCGGCCTCGATGTCTTCGGCGAGTCCGCGCTCGAGCGGCTCCGCTATCATGGTCAGCTTGTTCCGCTTGTTGGGCGTCTCCGCGAAGCACTTTAGCGAGGAGGTCTCGACTACTGTCTCGCAGAATGATACTACCGGGTCCGCGACTGGGGAAGAAATGGTTAGTATAAAATTTATTGTTGGCAAAAAGATCATCATAAACGAACACATGCAGATGAATGTTAACATGATGTATTAGAAAAAATATAAAATTGTTGTCAATTATACAAAACATATTCACGTAAAAGCCCCTACATTAATCGCTGCGGCCAACGAAATATGAAATTGGTCGCGCCCGGGCTAGGATGCGAGCCGTGATAAAATCTTATCGATGATTTTAGATAGCAAATGTATGAGCTTATCGCATAAAATCGATAAAATGGCACGATAAAAGTTTATCGCGGCGCGCATCTTTGGCTTCCAGACCGCATATTACACGGAGCGAACGGCACACACGTGCCGAAGCTCTAACAAGATGAATGGCGACGTCACGTCTTTGCCTGATTTCATGTCACGTTACTTTTTCTCCAGCTGAACACAAAGCGCAACCCTTCGAGCATAAATCACGTGACATATGACGTAACACTTGTTCGGTCACTGACCTTTGATGTCGATCTCCGAATACATATTGCGCAGGTCGTGCATGACGCAGTCCAGGTACAATTCGCCCGTGCCCAGGATCACGTGCTCGCCGCTCTCCTCCACGCGCGTCGAAAGAAGGGGATACGATTTGTTCACCTATAACAATAAACCAATAAGTTAATCTGATTTTTTACACACATAGCTCATAGAACAGATGGCCGTTGGGACAGAAAAGTTATCGAGTGCCGATCACGGGGTGAGGGCGGCGTAGGACCGCTCCTTGTAGAAATCCTTAGAGAGAGAGGACGAACGAATCTTCCAGAGTCCATAACATCATTGGCAACTCAGAGGGGTTTACAGGCTCTACAGGGATTTTAATCACCGCCTGCGTGTTGAATCGCAGCGGTCGGAAGGTGTGCAGTTCCTCGCCTCCTGACACCAGGTGTTAGGAGGCAGCCCTACACATTGATAGTTACCTTCCTGAGTCCATCTAACATCTTAGGCAGCTCGGAAGGGTTGACGGGCTTTCCCACTCAGTTGACTCAGGATCTAATGATCATGCACCAGCAACACAGCACCTGGATACTAGCAGCGCAGGGCTCAGACTTTTGGAGATCCTTATGGGAGGTTTCCTCGCTTCCTGACACCTGGACCCCTACAGACTGACAAGGGTTGACCGGTTCTCCCACTCACTAGATGCAAGCAGCGCAGGACCGGTCCATTTGGAAATCCTTACGGGAGTGAGAGAGACACCAGCTCTTTATACACCCGCGCAAGTTCCAGGTTCGTACAAGTACATTCGCAAAAATTTTAGGGAAGGTCTTAAAGGGAGAAAGGGAGAAGTAAACCAACCTTCCTAAGTCCATCCAACATCTTAGGCAGCTCAGAGGGGTTGACCGGCTCCACAGCGATCTTAACAACCGCTTGCGTGTTGAATCGCAGCGGCCTAAAAGTGTGAAGCTCCTCGTCTTCTGACACCTTAGAAAAGTACCTATTGATAAGTAGGGATCTACTTATCAATAGTTACCTTTCTATGTTCGTCCAATAGTTAAGAGAGAAAGAAAGGGATAAACGAACCTTCCTAAGTCCATCTAACATCTTTGGCAGCTCGGACGGGTTGACCGGCTCCATAGCGATCTTGACCAGGGCTTGCGTGTTGAAGCGCAGCGGCCTAAAAGTGTGCAGCTCCTCGTCTTCTGACACCTTAGAAAAGTACCTTTCTATGTTCGTCCAATAGTTAAGAGAGAAAGAAAGGGATAAACGAACCTTCCTAAGTCCATCCAGCATCTTTGGCAGCTCGGACGGGTTGACCGGCTCCACAGCGATCTTAACAACCGCTTGCGTGTTGAATCGCAGCGGCCTAAAAGTGTGCAGCTCCTCGCCTCCTGACACCAGGTGTTAGGAGGCAGTACTACCTACACATTGATAGTTACCTTCCTGAGTCCATCTAACATCTTAGGCGGTTATCACACTGCGCCGCGCTCCGCCGCGGAGCGCGGGGCGACAGATTTAATCATTGTATGCAAGTACCTCAGTTTGTATAGAAAACACGCGCGGCACTTCACACTGAAAACGCGTCCGCGCGCGTGATTTTTTATATGAAAATCACGCGCTCCGCGGCGGAGCGCGGCGCAGTGTGATAACCGCCTTAGGCAGCTCGGAAGGGTTGACGGGCTTTCCAAGTCAGTAGACTGACAATCTAATGGTGGTGGCAAGCACCTGGATGCGAGTATCTCAGGGCCGGTCCATGTAGATCTTTAGGGAAAAAAGAGAGACACCAGCTGCGTGCAACTCCGCAAGTAGGTAGCGTAGGCCCTAAAGTGAGGTCTTAAAGGGAGAGGCAACAAACCTTTCTAAGTCCATCCAACATCTTTGGCAGCTCGGACGGGTTGACCGGCTCCACAGCGATCTTGACAACCGCTTGCGTGTTGAATCGCAGCGGCCTAAAAGTGTGAAGCTCCTCGTCTTCCTCAGCGGAGACAATGGTGCAGGTCTTCACGATGGGCTGGTCCACGCCTTCTATCAGCGCCCAGCAGCCGGCCGGTACTCGGTTCAGTTCCACCTGGGGACATGTGCCAAATTATTAAGTACTTTATTTTTGAACTATAACGCGCTCCATTAAATTATTAAGAACTGCGGGGATTCTACAAGCAAGAATGACCATGGCTGTAGCAACACAAGTAACACAACCGAAACGTCAAGCTGTAAGTGCTCGCTCATCTAATTTTTACCCCCACTGATTTTAGTTTTAGACAAGAGTAGAACAGGGTCACTCCCAGTCTTCCCGCGGATGACGTAAAAGGAAAAATAAGAACTATGCGAAAAATATCCTGCTAATATTATAAATGCGAAAGTTTGTATGTCTGGATGGATGTATGTTTGTTGCTCTTTCACGCAAAAACTACTGAACGGATTTTGATGAAACTTGACAGTATTATTGTTTACAACCCAGAATAACATATAGGCTATAATTTATGACGATTTGTGACAAACAGAATTTCACGCGGGTGAAGCCGCGGGCAAAAGCTGGTGAGAAATATGCGAACATCAGGGCACCCCAACCCGTCTGGCCAGCGCTTGGGGAATAAAATATGACCTCGTAAAGGTTACAGGAAGGAAGGCGCTGGTTGCAGGCCTCTGACAACCAGTCAATCTGGATATGATTTGGGTAGGCCTATGTTCAGCTGTGAAATGATGATGATGAAAAAATTAGTTAGATTAATATACAACTGACCTTATACCGGGCCTCGTATATCCACAGGCGGCCGACGTTCATAATTCTCGAGTCCTCCTCGTCGTGCGAACTGTAGTTCTCTCCCAACACTCGCACCGTCTGCCCCGCGTATAATGTGCCAGACATTATCCGCGCCAGAACCTGGTGATAAAACAATTAAACATTTAGCTACTATAGAAAAAAGGAGCTTTGAACCTTATACGATCATAATAGTGTTTAAAATATGATAGCAACCTATAATAATGAGGGTTTTCGCGTTTGAAAAATCCGCCAGATGGCAATACGTAGACGCGAGGTCCAAATGATGCATGATTGGTTATTTTTGACATGACATTGACAGATATGTAACCGTAGGGTTATGATACGTCAATATCCACAATACAATGTCAAAATATTTGGACTTTTGAAGGATTGATTAAAATTCCAAAAATGGATAAATCTAGTAGGATTGTAGGTCTTGATTGCTCTTGATACAACAACATGGATATATGGTGACGCGCACGAAATGGGCGGTGGCAGAGCGGGATACTACTCCTCATCGCCGCTGCTTCGCCGTGTCGCGTCGCCCTTGAAGAAACTTGTCACACGCATCCGCGCTATATTGCCCTGCTGTATGCCCTACTTAACCCTTAACAGGAATAAGGTGCAGTCATCAGTCGGGTGCATCTTGGCAGTATGTGCCACGAGCCGGCCGGACTGGTCGCAGCGCAGCATGTCCTCGAGTGCCCCCCGTGCCCCCCGCGGGGCCAACTCACCAGGAAGAAGGTGCAGTCATCAGTCGGGTACATCTTGGCAGTATGCGCCACGAGCCGGCCGGACTGGTCGCAGCGCAGCATGTCTTCGCGAAGTGCCCCCTCGGTGCCCCTGTATGTGTGGCCCACTTTGCGCTCCGCCGCGTCGAGAGGCGAAGGCACGTGGGTCACCACCATGTCCACGAAGCCACTGAAACAAAAGCACATGTTGACTTTGATATCAGTCTTACATCCTGGTTCAAGTACCAGTAGCCTTATTCACGTAACAAAACTTCAATAACAACAAATCGCTGAGTTGCGATCCGAAAATGACCCTTGTGAATACGGATTTAGAACTGTTTTTCAATGGGACGACTTCTGATAGTCAGCGAGATCTTGACAGTCAAAATACGGGAATTAGGCCACTGGACCGTTGCACCCTAATTATAATCATCATACATCCACAGGACGTCCACTGCTGAACATAGGCCACCCCCAATGATTTCTACATCACCTGGTTGGTAGCGGCCTGCGTCAAGCGCTTTCCTGCTACCGCCATGAGGTAGTCGGGTCCACCTTTCCTTTTACGAGATCGAATCAGTCATGAGGAGATTTGTAAAAGAACTAAAGTCGCGGACATAGCCCGACGGATTAGCTGAAGTGGCAATGGGCAGGGCACATATCACCCTAAGGTGCTTGCGAAATCAAGTTGCTTTCACAGTGCAACTGTTACACATGATTTGCATTGGCATATTCTAGGCTTCTTTTTCACGGTAGTAGTCCAACATCCTGAGGCTGTTATATACGCGCATAATGATTTGCTGTCGTTAACATTTATACCTAAATCTATATAAATAAAAATGAATCTATCTATATAAATAAAAATTAATTGATGTTCGTTAGTCTGATTAAAACTCGAGAACGGCTGGGCCGATTGAGCTGATTTTGGTGTTAAAATGTTTGTCGTAGTCCAGGGTAGGTCTAAACGGTGAGCAAATAAGGAAAGATTTGCTTATTTATTGCCTTTCAGGCGGAACAGAGTTCGCCGGGTCAGCTAGTCATTAATAAAATATGGGTCTATATTAAAGAAACAGCATAAAGGTCAAAACATTACTAGCCACAACAGCCACAGGAAACTCGTCCTTATCGCATACGCTACTCACGAGAAGTCCCCGAAGAATCGGCTGCAGACCAGCCGGAGCAGCGGCCGCACGTTCAGCTTGGCCTCCTGCTTCGTCAGCTTGATGCCGAGCTCGCTTAGTACCGCCGGCAATGTATCGTCTACGTCGCCTACCACCTGGAACGAAGTAAACATTGTTAGCACTAATCTAGACAAAGCATAGGCAGTATAATTCATAATTATTATTTTTTTGTTTCCGTTTTTCTATTCGAAAGATTGATGTATCCAACATTGTGTTGGCTGAGGGCTAAAGAGGAGCGAGCAATGGGCGTCTATACAGCGTTAAAACGATAAGCGATCTCACTCGATTATTTCTAAACTATACAAGATATCAAAAAACTAGTTACTGATCCTGAAAGTGCTTCATGCGATCTGGAGACCTGATGTTCGTTTGTTTCCCTCTTAGTCGCCTCTTACGACATCCACGGGAGAATGGGGGGTGGTCTTAATCCTACTTTATCCTACTGAAACTGTTACACATACGGACATACCTGAGCAAAGATCTTGTAAAGCGGCTCCAAAATAAACTCCACGAAGCTTCTCTGTGCAGACGCATGCGGCTGCTTCTTGGTGAAGCGTCTGGTCTTAGCGTTGAAGTAGATGTCTCCCCACAGCCAGCCGGCCAGTTCCGCAGACCGAAGCCCAGCGCCCGGGTGGCCTGATGTTCGTTTGTTTCTCGCTTTGACGTCACTTACGACATCCACGGGAGAGTGGGGGGTGTTTATAATCCTATTCTACTCTACCAAAAGGCTGTTTTATTTTAATACCTGAGCAAAGATCTTGTAAAGCGGCTCCAAAATAAACTCCACAAAGCTTCTCTGCGCAGACGCATGTGGTTGCTTCTTCGTGAAGCGTCTGGTCTTGGCGTTGAAGTAGATGTCTCCCCACAGCCAGCCGGCCAGTTCCGCGGACCGAAGCCCGGCGCCCGGGTGCGCTGCCGCATACATCGCAGCAAATGACCCAAGAGAGAAGCACACGTCGTATAGAGATGAGGCGAAGCACACGTTGCCTGTAGGGAGATGAATAAGTAAATTGTTTATTTATTAAAGAATGTTTTATGTTTTAGTTATAGCCTTTTTAGCCTGAACTACATGAGCCTTTTCACTATTACATTTATTTTGCCTCGTCTTGAAATAAGCGAAAATAGGATTAAGCACTGGACTGCCGATGCCGAAGTCGCTAAGCGCTCCTGCACACGACGCCGCCGCTGCGCCCCTACACTGTTCATACGCGCCGCCGCCGCGCCGCTGGCGAAATTATGCTTTGATGGCGCGGTGGCGGCACGGCGGCGGCGCGGCGGCGGGCTTTACTCGGTGCATATGAACAGTGTAGGGGCGCGGCGACAGCGCGGCGGCGGCGCGGTTGAGGCGTCGTGTGCAGGAGCCCTAATTCTCTCCGCGTTATTGCTAGACCTAGAATTATCGAATTGGCTAACTTTTCACTGCTTTATGTTTGAGCATAAATGAGGATTTAGTTTGTCAAGAGTCTAACCTCAATCAGGGATTTAAGTAAGAGCCTTGATACAAACAAAGAACAGTGAAATCGAGACCACTATCTGTGTCGCGATAGATTTGTGATTGCTATCTCTGCTTATCTAAAACCACATAAAAATTATCAATCAGTTTAACTGCTAAAACATACCCAGAAGTGGCGAGAACACTGTAGCCGGTTCCGTCGGGTTATCCTGCGGCTGATGCGTCTCGAGCATCGAATTGAGCTCGTCAATAATATGCCGCAGCTTGTAATACGCGTCTGCGGGCGGCAGCTTCAGTTCTAAGATCAGGCGGTCGATTTTATTAATGCATAACGTGAGAGGAACGCGCTCTTGCACCGCGTGACGTAGTAGACGCTCTGTGTTCAGCATTATACCTTCTGCTGCGTCGACGAATAAAACCGCACCTGCAGAAATGAGTAAGAATGGATGAATCAAGTGAAGAATGAGAAATGAAGACAACAAAAGTTTATTTTCATCAAGAACCTATGCAAAATATGTAACTGAACATGATAAGCAATAGTGGTAAACCTAGTCAACTGCTTTTTAAAGAACTTATTGAATCTTGGAATTATTGGTTTTGGTATCAACTACCTAATTATAACTATTCTAGACTACTAGTATCATAGAAAACATTAATAACAAAGGCTATTAAACTGAACAGGATATGAATTTTAACAATAAGACACCATTCATTTGCATCTAATGATTACAGAAGATTAAAATAAAAGAGTTAAAATTTAAATGCATCCAAAAAACTTTTATATTCTATCATCTAATTAGTTCAACTTACCATCCGAAATCCTCAAAGCAGCTGTGACTTCATCACTAAAGTTGACATGTCCAGGTGTGTCCATGATGTTTAACAAATGTGACTTTCCCTTTATGTTCTTGAGGAGCAGAGTGACTGGCATAGACTTGATAGACACTCCTCGCTCTTGCTCCACAAATAATGTGTCGGTGTACCGCATCGGGATTGTGGTGTCATTGTTTATGGTGCCGGGGTGGGTTTGTCTCATTAGACAGTCCACAAATGATGTTTTACCTGTGGAAAAGTTCAATAATTAATTTTAGAGATGAGAGCCTAATGCCTATATTATAATGTAATAATAACAACTAATTTATTTAATTAAATAAGGCATTTCTACAACAGAAGAGTAGATTTAAGTGGCAATTGATTGTCAAAATAAAGAAAGTAAAAATGGCATAGCTAAATTTGAATCAGTCAACTCATTTTAAGAACAAATCTAGGAAAATTCCTCATTTTCTTGTTTTATGTAAAATACCTTTTTATTCATAACTACTTTCTTAACAATAACATTAGCTTACAGTAAATTTTATATTTATTGAGTTTATTTCTCAGCCCAAAAACAACAACAAAAGATACTTACCATTATGTAAATGTCCCATCAAAGTGATATTCCTCATCAAATTAGTATTATCCAGCATATCCGCCAAGTACTCCATGTCATAGTTGGTCTCCGGTAACTGTTGTTCCTGCACTTGAAACTTCTTGTGCTTCACAGGTTCCACCAGCGGCTTGTCTAGTGCTTGTGTATCCTCCTCTTGTACTACCGTTTCAACGTCAGGCCCGTACACTTCTACTGCTTGAGGGTAATACCTAAAATAGGATGTCATTTTTATAAGTGCCATATTTATGGGAAAACTGAATAGGTAAAATTATTATTAGTAAAAAGTAATATGTTGGATGACTACTTTGATTACAAGGTCAGCTTATAGGCTTATAAATGTTTATATTGCAGAAAATTATACGATTCATGTGGTTCATACACAAGTGCATGAACAAAAACATGATCATGTTTGTTGTTTTTATAACCTAAAACCACAAGTATATTGCATACTAGCGGCCGCCCGCGACTTCGTACGCGTGGATCCTGTTTTACCACCTTTTCCCGAATTTTCTTTGCTATAAACCTCACGGAGCCCGAGACCTTTCCAACGAATGCAAAACCGTGGAAATCGGTTCGTGCGTTCTGGAGTATTAATCTAAGTTCTGGAGTTATAGCGTCAGGGAGGAAAACCCGACTTATTTTTATATAGTAGATTATGTACACACCGTTTATCCTCGTGAAGGACAACGGACATAGGAGCCACCTCGGGCTCCGCATCAGCGTCCTCGTCCTCCTCCATGGCATCCTCATCGGCGTCTCTGTTATCCTGGCCGTAAACACTCTGGTCATCGTCGGAATCCGACTCTAGGTCAGGGCCGATGTAATTGCCGAACTCGTCATAGAGATCCCCGTCCATTTCGAACAAGGATCAAATAATTTATAGCAAAATAATCAAACTTATCCTCAAAAATAACACCACCAAAACAAATGCCGCTTCTCAATAAATTGTTCAAATTTGACAACTAACCTCAAACGAGCTTACTTTGGTGTTACCAGCACCAAAAACTCAAGAGTAGGCTGTCCGGCACCATTGCATGCACTCAACACGGCACGGCATGCGTGTTTTTAAATCTGTGACCGCATGTTAATTTTTCTCAAGTTGTCAGCTTGTGTGACAAATTCTTTCCAATACAAAAATGGCTGTCGCTGTGCAACAAAATTTACTAAAAATGGTTTCAGCGCAGCTACGCAACAAAGCAAACGAGTTTTTAAACTCTAGAAAATATGCCAATAATCTTGCAGACATCTTGCAAATGTTTGAGGTAAGATAGTACCTTCATAAAGTCTTATAATTTCCTAAACAAAACTGCGTCATAGGTTACAATTTTATAATTGCCTTTTTCCTTTTATTTCAGGCTGTTACAGACAATTACTCGCCGCTACTGCTTACAATTGAAGTCATATTTACAGAATTATTGAGACGCGGAGATTTGATTGAGGAAATTGTCCCATTGAAACCTGCAGGTAAGCTCATTACACTAGCGGTTTTTGAGTATTTGTGGTATTTCCTAGTGCTGTTTGTTCAAAGTAATCGATAAAACACTTTAAAACTCATCTGTTAGTAGTTCCACGGTCACCTTTCATGTTTGTTTATGATTTCAAATAATATTTGATGTTCAGAGAAATGGTCACATTTTGCGACATGTGACGTTATTTGCTTATATAAAAGGCCTGAGCGACCGCAGCCCGTGAATCTTGTGTAATTGCTTTTGTTACCGAACTGAACGCCAGGCTGGTTTTCAATTTATATAAAACTTTATATAATACCAAAGTTTCACCATTGTAGTCCTGCCCAGAGTTATTGTGAGTAAAATTCGCCAACCTTATTTGCAAGTAGTCTCAAGGTCACGGGCGTTTTGTTACTGGCACAATGTGTTTTTAAAACTGCAAGTTAATCATTGGATATTGTTTCTTTACATCAATATTTGATGACATTCTGACTACCCAACTGGTTGATACTTTAAATTTTCACTTACTCATAATGATGGTGTAATAGATTTCATTGCTCACATTAAATATTTAATTTATAAACAGTCCTGATTTTTCATAATCTAACTCAATGTCTAGAAACACAGTAGCATATTAAGCCAAGTTAAAGGAACAGAAATTGTGAGCAGCACCATGTGTAATATCAAACAAACCCATAAAACATTTTACTATACTTGCTCAGTTAAAAAAATGTTTTATCCCAACAGACCACAGCCCGGAAGCAGAATACACAAGATGGCTGCGCGAGTGCTACGAGACAGCGCTGGCCCGCACCCTGGAGTGTGTGACCCGCGGCCGCACCAACTCGCGCCTCCAGGCTCTCGTCACCGCAAGCAAGTTGCTGCAAGAAGAAGGAAAGCACCCACTTGAAAGCTCTTCTGGATACTTCTTCCCATCTATGCGGCTTAAGGTGAGCTAAGATATTTGATCTTTTCAGTATTAAGTACTATCGCCAACAGTGTTAACTGCCCATTGAAAGTCATGTCATCTCGTTCTATCGCAAAGAATCGCCATTTGATTAGAGCGAGAGCAAACACGGAAATGGATAGTTAACAGTGTGGGCGTGTGTACATACCTACTTCTTCTTCTTCATTTGTTGATGGCATTGGACTTGTGTTTTTTCGCCACTGGGGGCACACTGTCTTTACACACCTACATCAATATAATATCAATAAATACCACTTGCACCAGACAGCTTATAAATTTTAACCACTTATTTTTAAATTCACAAACATTTTGAATTTGAAAACACTTGAGTTGTTTAAAATGTATGTATGTACCACAGTTCTGTTTGCTGCATAAATACTGTTTTACACTGTCACAGTCTATGCAGAAAACACTGTATTGTAAAACAGTCTAATGTAGACCTAACAGACCAAAATTTAAAGTGTTTTTCCACCAAATAGTGGAATAAAAGTCAGGAATAGACTAAAAAATGTGTTTTTGTTTCAGAACATCTTCACAGTTCTGCTAGATTCTGAACAATCCATGTCGGCGCCGATAGCTCGTTTCCAGGAGTTCACAGAATACAGAGATGTGCAGCAGTATGGCCTAAAGGTTCTCTCAGCACTTGCATACAGAAAGTAAGACAAACTATTATCTTGATACTCCACTATTGCATGCCGTGGCAACCTATAATTAAGGCAGCACTTAGATTAAGTTAAATACGTTGTAAATATTGATTGTCTTCCAGTGTATGTCTTGTTGGTTGTCCTATTAAATAAATAAAAAAAAAATAAAGATACTTACATTATTATGTAATGCTATAGGCCCGATATCATCTTTTTGCATCATTGCTTTCATCTGCTAGCAGCAGTTTTTTAGCATTATAGAGGTCCAAAATCATTATAATGTCTTTTTTTTTTCAGGTCTCCTACTCCCATTTACATGCAAAACTATCTGGAACTGCTAGACAAACTCCTGGTAACCGAGATACAGTTTGACAACAAGACAAAATCTAATAAAAACAGAGACAACGAAGAGAAGGAGGAAAAGATTCTTTGTGGCTCTGAAGGTAAGTTTGAGTTTATTATGTAACTACACTCGACAGCAAATAAATCGCACCACCCGCGACAAGCATTTTCAAACGTATGCATCCCTACTTCCCACCAATATTGGCACCATTTAAAAGCCTAGTTCTAAACTTCATTTTATTAAAGGAAAGGTTTTTACCCCAAAAATGTGTCTTTACAAGGATCCAGAGTCACTTCTTCAAAAAATAGGTAGTTACGCTATAGCCATTATTTATGACTATAAAACTGTTAAGTTGGGATTAATCGCTATCCATCTGTTAAAGAGGACACGTGTGATCATTATTTGGTTTTATAACAATAAATTTTGGTCTAATTGATCCCAAAGGTGAGCCCAAAGTGAGGTCTTTTTTCAAGTCACATTTATAGTATATGTTAATCATTTATTAAGAAATTAAATGTGTTTTTCTTTAAGGATATTTATTGGGCTTAAAACAATAAAATCAAATCATTTATTTGCATTACATGTAAAAATATGCAAAGTTCAACCAGTACCAGCTATGATAAGATGCAGTGTTGTTATCAATTCACAATGAATATTATTATTAGCTCATAATAATGCATCATTTCGTCAGTTGTGAAATAACCTTGGATTTACAAGTGGAAGTGATTTTAGTTTCATCGCATAATGTTTAGATAATCTGGATTACAATGTAACAGTGATGTTATTACATTTGAGTTGCATAAATAACATTATGTTCACTTGTTAGGTAAATATCAGTTTCTTTTATCAAATAGAGTGAGGTGAATTTTAAAATTTAAATCACTTGTTTTATTGCCTTCCAAATTTTTCATGTGTCGCATGGTGCGTTTGTCCAGCAAAGGCGCTCAGTGAACGTATACGCATCGCAGACGTCGCGATCGCTACACGGAGTTGTCACGGGTCTCAGCTGGGGCATGCTGCGCAATGCATAGCCACATTCCTAAAATACATACCGAAATAACAACCATGTCGCTACTGCACAGCAATCAATAATTACGCCTATGTTGGACAAACACTGGCCTGAAGAGGCCCTTGAAGTAATTATCAATTTACTAATTATTAACTTTTGTCACCAGACAAAGCCCCATTCCCGTACAACCCTGGCGTGTGCCGGCGCTACGCGAACCGCTGTTGGAGCTTTGCGTGCCAGTGGCCGCTATGTGACGATTCCCGTACGCACCGCCGCGCTCTTCTGCTGTTAGTGGAGCGCCTCATGCCGTTACTGGCTAGACCACACCTCGCCACAGACATGCTGTGCGACAGCCTCGACGCTGGTAAGGATACTCACAAGGTATAAATATGGAGCTTTGTGTGCCAGTGGCCGCTGTGTGACGATTCGCGTACACACCGCCGCGCGATTCTGTTGTTAATGGAGCGCCTTATGCCACTACTGGCTAGACCACACCTCGCCACAGATATGCTGTGTGACAGCCTCGACGCCGGTAAGGATACTCTCAAGGCACAAGTATGGAGCTTCGCGTGCCAGTGGCCACTGTGTGACGATTCCCGCACGCATCGCCGCGCGCTTCTGCTGTTAGTGGAGCGCCTCATGCCGCTACTAGCTAGACCGCACCTCGCCACAGATATGCTGTGTGACAGCCTCGACGCCGGAAAGTGCACTCTCAAGCAGGGTTCGAGGATATATATCAAGGGATATATATCAAGATATATATCGGATATATATCCGATATATATCAAGCTGGTTTTGACGATATATATCAATTTTTAATTTTTTTTACTGTATTTGTACTTTTTGACATAAGATTTTTATTTTTTTAGTTGATTTTGCCGTATTTAAGGAAAAATTTTATGTTTTTGCTTTATTTGTCTGATTTTTAGTTTTAAAAACATTAAAAACATGTTTATGTAACACATATGCAATAGTATTCATAAGTAATACAATAAAATAATAGTATGGCTTTCATACAAAATTGATATACAGGGTGTTTGGCGCATCGTGTGCCAAAATGATTTGGCGGATAGAATGGGTCATTTCCTATATTTTCATCCCCCATAACACGTTCCACGCCAGGCGGCTACTTTTATATTAACTTTTTTAATAATTTCACCAAAATACCCAAATCGCGTCATTTAATTTCGATTTAAAAAAAAACTACTAGGCGTAGCCTCAAAGTAAATATTTTGTTTTGACGTGCATTGATGTAGGGTTGCATCAAATCTAAATTTACTGGCAAATATCATCTAGTTTTTTTTTAATTCAGCTTTAAAGTTTTCCGAAAAGTTAAAAATGGACTGAACATTTAAGTTTACATGGCTATAATTTTTTTTTTAAAAGAGATAGCGATCTTCGGATTTTATCAAAACTTCTCTAGTCTATCCCCATTCAAACGGTATACTAATCTTGTTTAAATAATAACAACAACTTCACAAATTCCTTAAATTAGTGCATTGACTCTACTCTGACTGATTTGCGAAATTTGTGTTTATAGCCCCTTTTTGTGTGAATAGCACGTTAAACACCTAACAGGTAAAAAATATTTATCTTATGCAATGTCAAAACCTTTTCCCTATCGTTTTTCAATGTGGATTTCTTGAAATTAAAGACGAAAATTATTATTTTGATCGTTTATTAATTATTACAAATTTTGTTCAAAATGTCCGCCTCGGCAACGTATACTAATTTCGACTGTTGTCGTATGCAACCACATTTCTCTTTTTATAACTACAAAGGCGTTTTCTATTCGTGGATTGGAAGAGATGGCCCTATACAGTGGCCTGCACGTTCCCCAGACTTAACTCCGTTAGATTTTTACATCTGGGGACAAACTAAAGAACTGGTGTACGTAACGGATTCAAACAATAGAAGAACTACAACAACGAATAGAAAACGCCTTTGTAGTAATAAAAAGAGAAATGTGGCTGCATACGACAACAGTCGAAATTAGAAGAAGATGTCGTGAGTGTGTGATACGTTGCCGAGGCGGACATTTTGAACAAAATTTGTAATAATTAATAAACGATCAAAATAATTATTTTCGTCTATAATTTCAAGAAATCCACATTGAAAAACGATAGGGAAACGGTTTTTACATTGCATAAGATAAATAATTTTTACCTGTTAGGTGTTTAACGTGCTATTCACACAAAAAGGGGCTATTAACACAAATTTCGCAAATCAGTCCGAGTAGAGTCAATGCACTAATTTAAGGAATTTGTGAAGTTGTTGTTATTATTTAAACAAGATTAGTATACCGTTTGAATGGGGATAGACTAGAGAAGTTTTGATAAAATCCGAAGACCGCTATCTCTTTTAAAAAAAAAATTATAGCCATGTAAACTTAAATGTTCAGTCCATTTTTAACTTTTCGGAAAACTTTAAAGCTGAATAAAAAAAAAACTAGATGATATTTGCCAGTAAATTTAGATTTGATGCAACCCTACATCAATGCATGTCAAAACAAAATATTTACTTTGAGGCTACGCCTAGTAGTTTTTTTTTAAATCGAAATTAAATGATGCGATTTGGGTATTTTGGTGAAATTATTAAAAAAGTTAATATAAAAGTAGCCGCCTGGCGTGGAACGTGTTATGGGGGATGAAAATATAGGAAATGACCCATTCTATCCGCCAAATCATTTTGGCACACGATGCGCCAAACACCCTGTATATCAAAGTTGATATATATCTGATATATATCATAAATATCCGATATTTTGATATTTATAATAAATATCGGATATTTTCGAACCCTGCTCTCAAGGCACAAATATGGAGCTTTGCCTGCCAATGGCCGCTGTGTGACGATTCCCGCACGCACCGGCGCGCTCTTCTGCTGTTAGTGGAGCGCCTCATGCCGTTACTGGCTAGACCACACCTCGCCACAGATATGCTGTGCGACAGCCTCGACGCCGGTAAGGATACTCTCAAGGCACAAATATCGAGCTTTGTCTGCCAGTGGCCGCTGTGTGACGATTCCCGCACGCACCGCCGCGCGCTTATGTTGTTGGTAGAACGGCTGATGCCACTGCTGGCTAGACCACACCTCGCCACAGATATGCTGTGCGACAGCCTCGACGCCGGTAAGGATACTCTCAAGGCACAAATATCGAGCTTTGTCTGTCAGTGGCCACTGTGTGACGATTCCCGTACACACCGCCGCGCTCTGTTGTTGTTGGTAGAACGGCTGATGCCACTGCTGGCTCGCCCACACCTCGCCACAGATATGCTGTGCGACAGCCTCGACGCCGGTAAGATCCACAGCACATAAAATATTATGCCCTCTCAGTGTTAAGGTTTGGCAGCACAGCGTCCAGAATGGCGGGAGATTGTGAAGAGGCGAGTCCACGAGTTCGAGGAGCGTACGACTGAACTCGACGCGAAGCGCGATGACTTGAAGGCCCGTCCATCTGCCGCCATTCATTATATGTTGGCGGTGTGCTCAGATGCCCTCAATGTGCTACGTAAGCCATCTTCGGGCACACCAGCGCCGCCAAGACAGCTAGGAGTCGGAGTGGTCGCCATGGCCGAAATCGGTCGGATGGATCATCATCATCATTTTAGCATCGGCGATTTAGCAGCTTTTTAGAAGCTGAATGCAGCTACTACTTAAAACGCCAAACGCGTTGATTGAGTCGCATTCCGACAGCCTCAGCCTGAGTACATAGACGAGCGCTGCGTGCCCGCTGGCAAAAGCACGCAAAGCACAAGTGTAAACACGGTAATTTTTTGTCTCGGTCGTACTAAAGCGAACTTTTTAAATTATTTTTGTAAGAATCCTTTTAATTTTCAGGAGGCCCAATAAGCATGCTGGCGCTGCAAGGCGTCCTCGAATTAGTGCGGCGCCACAACATCAGCTACCCAGACATGTACGACCGGCTCTACGCCATGTTCGAGCCAGAAATGTTCGCCACCCGCTACAAGAAGCGCCTCATGCACCTGGCCGACATATTCCTGAGCTCCACGTGAGTATATGAACCTCCTTGGATAGATAGACGAAACTAGCGGCCGCCCGCGACTTCGTACGCGTGGATCCCGTTTTACCCCCTTCATCTATCTTACGCGATTTAGATTTTTTCATACAAATATTTTTTCCCGCTAACTCCCGTTCCCGTGGGAATTTTTCAATATCCTGTTGTAACTAAGCTTTAAGTTTACTAAGGTACCTGCATGCCAAATTTCAAGCGTCTAATTTAAGCATTTTAGATTTTTCATACAAAAGGATTTTCCCGCTAATTCCCGTTCCCGTGGGAATTTCGGGAATTTCTTTCTTAGTGCACCTCTACGGTACCTAAGCTACGTCCCTTCCAATTCCCTTCCTCTCTTCCAATTTCAAGTGCCTACGTCTAACCGTTTAGGCTGTGCGTTGATATGTCAGTCAGTCAGTCAGTTTCTCCTTTTATATATTTAGATAATTGTTAAAATCTTTTTTTCATCTAAGTTTATGTTAGTAGCGGCCTGCAACCAGCGCCTTCCTGCTACCTTTATGAGGTCGTCGGCACGCCTTGGGGGAAACCTATGTCCAGCAGTCCTGTGGCTGAAATGATGATGATGATGAGGCTCATGATAGGAAATAAGAATGAGTTTACCACATTAATGTAGTGGTCGACGATCCCTGTCGAAGTAAAAATTAGCGACTCACGAATCGGTAGAAACGAAACCTTTGGGCTATCTTTATCAAATTAAATAATTATTATGTATATTTAGACATTTCTTCATGAGCTCGTGTTTCCTTTTGTCTATCATCGTCAGCTGAGATTGACATCAAACGCGTCTCCCGTGCAATTTCCAACACGTGATTGTGTTGTCAGTACCATCAACGCTCATTGAGCCGAGTTGGCATATTTGACATTCCATTAACTCATTGTTGTCCAAAAATCGTCCTCCAATTTTTGTTCTAAGTATTAGATACTCAAAAGTTCCGATCTTCCGAATCTAAAATCTATGTAAGTGCCTGCGAAACAGTAAGGCTGGTTTTAGTGTCACGCGGACTGTCAGTGCGGATCGCTCCGCACAGCCGATCTGTATGAACTGCTGGGAGCGGAGCGGTTCCTCCGGACCGCGTTACTCTAAAACGCTCCCTAGAAGTTCATACAGATTAGCGGGTCCGCACCGGACGGTCCGCGTGACACTAAAACCAGCCTGAGGCCTCAGTTTCGAGTTTAGCGGGCAGCGGGGCGGGAGCGGCGACGGCGCGGGAGCGGGGCGGGCAACGCAGACCCGTTCTCGAAACAAGCGGGCAGCTCGCGCGGCGCTTTAGCGGCGAAGTGTTGTGTTCGGGGTTGTGATGTCGAGATATTTGTTTTTATTCGCAAACGAAATGTCTGAACAACGGCGACAATTTTATTTCGATTCAAATTTATTCCTAACGCTCGATTTATTGTGGGCAAAAGAAGGAGTGCGCTGCCCGCTCGTTGCCCGCTCCCGCGCCGCTGTTTTCGAGAACCGGTCTATTTGATTTTACGCATAAGATCCTGCCGCTACCGCCGCCGCCCCGCTGCCCGCTAAATTCGAGGCTGAGGCCTGACAGTGCAATCCGTTCAGTGGTTTAAACCTTTAATTTACAGACATTAATAATGCCGTTTTTTGTTACAGCCATCTGCCTGAAAGCCTGGTAGCAGCGTTCGCCAAGCGTCTGTCGCGGCTGGCGCTGGTCGCCGGCGGCGAGGACGCGGCGGCCCTGCTGCGGCTCGTGGCCAACCTGCTGCTGCGCCACCCGCCGCTCAAGCGGATGCTGTGCAGCGACGACGCGCCGCCGCCCACCATCAGTGAGTGACGTCACAGGTCGCGGCCGCGCCGCCGCCCACCATCAGTGAGTGACGTCACAGGTCGCGGCCGCGCCGCCGCCCTCCATCAGTGAGTGACGTCACAGGGTCGCAGCCGAGTCGCGTCAGCGCGGCTGAGGCTCGTGACCTTTAGTGAGTGATGTCACTAGGTCGCAGAGCCTGTTGGTGACGAGCAAAATAGTATAGCATGGATATCAAATCATGGGCGATGCGACTGAGCTGTCGTGAGGCGCATGAGGACAACGAGCGGCGAACGTTTGCGAACAAATGAGCCATATTCGATTTCACTTCAGCAACAGGGATGTTTCCTGGGTGAAAAAGCAAGAGTTTTAATTAGTCCGTCAGTTAACTTATCAAAAACTACTCGACAGGTATTTTTCACTTTTTGAAAGTAATGAAAATGTAAAGAGATAAAGCGTGCCAAAGTTCTAAAGTAAAGGCCCGTGACGTCAGTGAGTGCGTAAAAGTGCAGCACTTTGTGACGTCGCGCGGAACTTCAACGCACTATAACTTTGTAATTATTTGTTTGATTGACAATTCAAAATATACGTGTCCAATATTTTTTTATATCAAAATTGACGGACTAAAAAAGTTTTTTTAGGAAACTAGCCCACTGAAAAGAAAATGTGTGCTATTTATATTTTGATAATAACATCCAAATCGTCTTTACAGTGTCAAGCGACCCGTACGTAATGGAAGAGACGTGCGCGTCCCGGTCCCGCGCTCTCGGCTCGTCGCTGTGGGAAGTGAGCCTGCTGCGGCGACACCACGTGGCCGCCGTGTGCACTGAGGCCGCGCATGTACTGGCCACAGCGGGCGATCGCGCGCAACCTGTGTCTATGGCCCCGCCTGAAGACGCCACGGTGAGTGCACGCGACTGTAGACCCTAACGCATTGCAATAAGGACCAGACTCGCACCACACCACGTGGCCGCCGTGTGCACTGAGGCCGCGCATGTACTGGCCACAGCGGGCGAGCGCGCGCAGCCCGTGTCTATGGCTCCGCCTGAAGACGCCACGGTGAGTGCACTCGACTCTCGCTCCTAGAGCGCCGCAATAAGGACCAGACTCCCGCGGCACACGTGACACCGCCCTAGGACGCCGCGGTGATTGCACGCGACTGTAGACCCTAGCGCGAGGCAATAAGGACTAGACTCGCACGACACCACGTGCCGCCGTGTGCACTGAGGCCGCGCATGTACTGGCCGCGGCGGGCGATCGCGCGCAGCCCGTGTCTATGGCCCCGCCTGAAGACGCTACGGTGAGTGCAACTGTAGACCCTAGCGCGGTGCAATAAGGATCAAACTCTCGCGGCACACTAGGCCCCGCCTGAAGACGCCGCGGTGAATGCACGCGATTGTAGACCCTAGCACCCTGCAATAAGGATCAACCTGCTGCGGCGACACTACGTGGCCGCCGTGTGCACTGAGGCCGCGCATGTACTGGCCACAGCGGGCGATCGCGCGCAACCCGTGTCTATGGCTCCGCCTGAGGATGCCACGGTGAGTGCACGCCAGTGTAGACCGTAGCTTCACGTAACAAGGACCAGACTCCCGCGGCACACTTGGCACGTTGGCACCGCCTGAGGCGGCCGCGTTGAATGCACGCGACTGTCGCCCCTAGCGCGCCGCAACAAGGATTAGACTCGCACGACACCACGTGGCCGCCGTGTGCACTGAGGCCGCGCATGTGCTGGCCACAGCGGGCGATCGGGCGCAACCGGTGTCTATGGCCCCGCCTGAAGATGCCACGGTGAGTGCAACTGTAGACCCTAGCGCGGTGCTATAAGGGCCAGACTCCTGCGGCACGTTTGGCACCGCCTGAGGCGACCGCGTTGAGTGCACTTGACTCTCGTCCCTAGCGCGTCGCAACAAGGGCTGGAATCCTGCGATACCACGTGGCCGCCGTGTGCACTGAGGCCGCGCATGTACTGGCCACAGCGGGCGAGCGCGCGCAACCAGTGTCTATGGCCCCGCCTGAAGACGCCACGGTGAGTGCACGCGACTGTAGACCCTAGTTCCCCGTAACAAGGTCCGACCTTCTGCAGCACATGTGACTCCGCCCGAGGACGCCACGGTGAATGCAGGCGACTGTAGACCCTAGCGCACTGCAACAAGGACTAGACTCCCTCGGCACCACGTGGCCGCCGTGTGCACTGAGGCCGCGCATGTACTGGCCACAGCGGGCGATCGCGCTCAGCCCGTGTCTATGGCCCCGCCCGAAGACGCTACGGTGAGTGCACGCGACTGTAGACCCTAGTAGTCCGCAATAAGGGCTGGAATCCCGCGGCACCACTTGGCTCCGCCTGATACGCCACGGTGAATGCACGCGACTCTCGTTCCTAGCGCGCCGCAATAAGGGCTGGAATCCTGCGATACCACGTGGCCGCTGTGTGCACTGAGGCCGCGCATGTTCTGGCCACAGCGGGCGATCGCGCTCAGCCCGTGTCTATGGCCCCGCCTGAAGATGCCACGGTAAGTGCACGCGATTGTAGACCCTAGCGCCTTGCAACAAGGACCAGACTCCCGCGGTACACGGCTCCGCTCGAGGACGCCACAGTAAGTACACGCGATTGCAAAAACTAGCGCGCTGCAACAAAGACCAGACTCGCACGACACCACGTGGCCGCCGTGTGCACTGAGGCCGCTCATGTGCTGGCCACAGCGAGCGATCGCGCGCAACCAGTGTCTATGGCCCCGCCTGAAGACGCCACGGTGAGTGCGACTGTAGACCCTAGCGCGTTGCAACAAGGATCAGACTCCTGCGGCACGTTTGGCACCGCCTGAGGACGCCACAGCCCACATTGAATGCACTTGACTCTCGACCCTAGCGCCCTGCAATAAGGATCAACCTCCTGTGGCACACGTGGCCGCCGTGTGCACTGAGGCCGCGCATGTACTGGCCACAGCGAGCGATCGCGCGCAACCAGTGTCTATGGCCCCGCCTGAAAACGCCACGGTGAGTACACGTGATTGTAGACCCAAGCGCGTTGCAATAAGGATCAAACTCCCGTGACACACGTGGCCCCGTTTGAGGATGCCACGGTGAATGCACGCGACTCGTTCCTAGCGCGCCGCAATAAGGACCAGACTCCCGTGACACCACGTGGCCGCCGTGTGCACTAAGGCCGCTCATGTACTAGCCACAGCGGGCGATCGCGCGCAACCAGTGTATATGGCCCCGCCTGAAGATGCCACGGTAAGTGCACGCGATTGAAGACCCTAGCGCCAGGAAACAAGGATCAGACTCCCGCGACACACTTGGCACCGTCTGAAGACGCCACGGTGAGTGCGACTGTAGACCCTAGCGCGGTGCAACAAGGATCAGATTCGCGCGACACCACGTGGCCGCCGTGTGCACTGAGGCCGCGCATGTACTGGCCACAGCGGGCGATCGCGCGCAGCCCGTGTCTATGGCCCCGCCTGAAGACGCCACGGTGAGTACATGCGACTATCGTCCCTAGTGGTCCGCAATAAGGGCTGGAATCCCGCGGCACCACTTGGCACCGCCTGATACGCTACGGTGAATGCACGCGACTCTCGTTCCTAGCGTCCTGCAACAAGGACCAGACTCGCGCGACACCACATGGCCGCCGTGTGCACTAAGGCCGCTCATGTACTAGCCACAGCGGGCGAGCGCGCGCAACCAGTGTCTATGGCCCCGCCTGAAGACGCCACGGTGAGTGCAACTGTATACTCTAGCGCGCTGCAACAAGGACTAGACTCGTCAGAATCCGTCGGTGATACCACGTGGCCGCGGTGTGCACTGAGGCCGCGCATGTACTGGCCACGGCGGGCGATCGCGCGCAACCCGTGTCTATGGCCCCGCCTGAAGATGCCACGGTGAGTCCACGTGACTAGACCCTAGCGCGTTGCAACAAGGTCTGATCCTTGTTGCAACGCGTTAGGGTCTACAATCGCGTGCACAAGTTGCCGCCGCGGGCGAGCGGGCGCAATCGCTGTCAATGGCCCCGCCCCATGACGCCGCAGTGAGTGCACGTGACTCTCGCTCCTAGCGCGGCTGCTACAAGAAACAATACCCTGTGGAAGCGCGTGGCCTCTAAACTAAAACACAATCTAAAGCCGCAAAACAATTTATGAAAGAAAATTCCACGAATCACCTTTTTTGAGCTCCACCCTAAGTCTTCGTGTACATGAACGCACATGATCACACACCTAGATCTCTTGAACTGATAGTATTTAAAAATTCAAACACTTTTATTATCTTCACACAGCTCTTCGACGCAGAACTCAAGAAGAGGTTCAAAACGATCGAGATGAACTTCATCCGGCCTCAAGGGATGACGTCACCTTCTGGCGAACGCGTCCTCCAGTTCTGGGAGCTGATGGCTTGAAGTCCCCACGCCTCGCAACGGTGGACAGGTAAAGGATGCATTTCGAATCCGAGACTTTGTATGGCCATTAAGAATTTGCAATCGTTATTTATTCTTTTGTTGTGTGAATTATAGTTTACAATTCAATGGGGACGAAAATCTGGAACTGATCAGTAGGTCTAGACAGGTGGCACTTTTGAACGAAGCGAAAATCGAATCCGTTTACAGAGCGATGTAACTCTATACAAAAACGCACCGAGCGCGGATTGTATGTGAGCGCGCCAATACGTATATACAAAATTCGGGGCAACTCCCCGCTAATCAACGCAAAATTTTGTCAGTGTGTGCATGCGCGCCGCATACGTGTTGGCGCGCTCACATACAAACCGCGCTCGGGCGTTTCTATGAAGATGACCTACTCATTTGTATTTACTCTGTTACAACTGTCACGTTTTGCCACTTGTCTATGTTTGTTGACTGCGTTTTTATCCGTTTATCCTGCAGGCCGGAGTAATAAATCATGATGTATAATTTTCCGCGAAATGCAATCTATTGAATTAATGACCAAAATATACATGAAGTATCGTGCACCAAAGAGAAAAAGAATCCCCGCCCCATTGGATCCTCTCGTTTGGTTTCTAACAAGTATTATACAATATTGATTGGAGCGAGACTCGATTCTAAGATGCAGATTTGTGCAATCGTTTACAATATTGGTTATTTAAGTAAAAATTTACATTGGGGACCGAAGATATTCGTTTCGTATTATAATAAGATTAAATAACTTAGAATTTGGTTTAGTCTATCTACTTTAGCACGATAATTAATATATGAAAGCAAATCAATTTTTGTGATACTTTTTACTGACAGTAGTCAATAAAATCATTTTTATTGTGTAGCTAAATTCTTTTGTTAATTATGATTATTTTGACAAGCTTATGGTTTAAAACCTGTTTTTTGTATATTGATAGAAGTTTGGATTTTCAAATTTACATTAGCCATCCATTTATGTGTCGTGCAAAATGCTCTATATTAGCATAATTCGTGTTTTCCATTGTATAATCTATGCATGTTAATATAATGCAATGAATAAAGTGTTTATTAGTGGCAAAATGACTGTACCAATATTGGAAATAAGTCATCATTGGAATTACTGTCATCCCCGCATGTATTAAAAACATACAACCAACGTAATCAATACAGCAAGTCGAAACTTTATTCACTAAGGGCCGATTTTTCAACCGTCAGTTAACTTTTATCTGAAGAATAAACTTGTCATTTTGACATATTTCCCATACTGAAACTGCCAATGTGCCAAACTTATTCCTCAGTTAAAAGTTATCCAACGATTGAAAAATCAGCCCTAATTGAATATTATCAGAAAATACATGGATAAGAAATCACTTTTTAATGACAGATTCTGTATCTTTTCACGTTGAATGTGCTTATTTCTATCATTTTTGTGCATTTTACTGCACCACTTCTGAAGAACATGTCCTCATCTTCTCCAGTAAAATTTCATTTTACTGAGAGAGTAATAGCTATTTTTGAATCTGGTACACCAAGTTGCCACTTGTTCACGTTTTTGACGATATCGCACTCTAATGTTATTAATATTAAAGTATAGGTAATGTTGTAATTTGGTTAATTTTATTTTTGTACGAACGCCGAAGTGCGAGTCTGTGATGTTTGAATAAGCTGCTCTCGTGGACGCGGCGATGGGATTTGGTGTTGGCGGGAACCTTTCATTAATACAGCAAATATAAGCTGCATTGTCTTCTAATACACTAAATAGCCCAAATCTTTCAAGAAGTACTTTATAAAATACTATTTAGATATAAACACCAAAGATTAAAATAACAGTCATAAGCAACTCCTAGTTTACATATAATCGTAAATAAGTTACTCGTCCCTAGAGTTATAATTGACTTCTAGTAGTCTGTGCAATCTCGGTTAATTTAAATTACTTTAAACACCCTGTATTATTGCAACGGTTCCGCCGCAAGTGTTGGCCAGGCCTGTCCGAAGATTTAGGAAATATATCTCTTATAATAACCAATTTATTTTGCTAATCGTTTTAAGGTTATACAGTCATTTAGTCTTCCCTTCCACTAACTTGTTGTAACCCTTTTTAGTTTCATTCCAGTGTTTGTAAAATGTATTTAACCTCCCACGTTTATGATTAAGGACTACCCGCGCTTACGGATCAGGTGTAGACAACTTTTGCCATATTTATTTAATTTTATTGTTATTGTAATGATCGTTTGTAAAAGCCTCGCAGTTTTGGGTGCGGCTTGTATTCATGCATTTTGTTCACTCGACTGTTCACGAATAACTTGTATAGCTACGAATTTATAGCAAACAGTTTCGTTTGCCCACAATGTTATAGTATATTCTATTCTTCCATAGCTTATGGATAAGCATTGATAGGAAATGATTAGCATCGTTTAAATATAAGTATTACAGTTTATGAATAAGGCAAAGAAAGTTCAAAATAGTATGGGAGCCGGTAGAATCTCACAATAGATAGAACCCACGAGTGAAGCCGTACCCGCCGCATTAATGTGATTATTTGTAACAAAAACAACTAGGATAAGATAGGTTAAGGCATTATTTTAATACCATTCATATAATGTTCTATAATTATATTGATAAAAATAAAAACTATTGATATACTTAGTCGAAGTTTATGATTTGTATCTCATAATACCTCACACAGTACATAAGAGTCTTAAGAAATTTGAGATTTTTAAATGAAAAGATCGCGTTATTTTATAATTTATGTTTATTGCAATATTTCTACATAACTTTATAACTATTTACGTAATATACAGAAAAGGAAACAATTTATTACAACATTTTAAAACATTTGGCACGCAAATCAGGACGACAGAGTCGAGGCACTTGTTGCACAAAAATATCTCGTGCCAGTTACATACGTTAATATTAAAATAACATACATAGCTAAAATTAATTTAAAAATAAATATAACAGTTTTCCCATTTAACTAAACACGTTTTTTTCGTAGTTGTGGAGAGACAATAACGTTCTTGTATTGTAGGGGAAGGCCATACTATCACAGTATCTTACGTAATAAACCACGGTTAGCGACAGAATCATTGCAAATGTAATTTAATTTCTAGTCACCGTTTATTGTCTTTGGTATACACAGGCAGAGCAACGTGCCAACAATTTATACGCTGCTCTAAACATTCAATCATGCAACACCGAAATAAAATGTGTATTTAATTTCTACACGTATGTGGCTTCGAATTTGTATGAAGAATCGGCCGATACCAAATCGGTGTAATATGCGCTTCATACATATTTATACTGATTAACAGCCCGATCAAACTAACGGCCGACTAAAAGTCTGACACCCAATAACCGAAAATACTGTCGATGATAAAGGTCGATCTTAGACTTTGATAAATAAAGAGTATTCGTAAATTGATGAAATATCCTAAAGCTGTCGACAAATCAGGTAATATTTATGGCAATAACTAAATTATACTACTAAAGCACCCTCGTTGTATAACTATTCTTTAACAATATGCTATACAGCTATATGATATGTCATGTAAATTATTATCCAACTACAGAAAATATTATTGCACCCAATCACGTCACGACACCTAGTGCCAAAAGCTAAAACTTTACAAAAAATAAATAATTTCAAATGTGTTCGTGTATAGCTCCTGTATAAAAAAATCAGGTCCCAATATTATGACCAACAATTCGCGTTTATGTACAAAATAAAATAATATTGTGACCAATAACTACTCACTAACACTTAACAAATTCTTAACAGTCCCATAGAAGCAACCAGATATTATTATCATCTGGAAATTCTGTAAATGGTAATGACATACGACCACACGTTACTAACAAACGGTAACAATAATAAATTCATGGATTACGGTTATGAAACAACGTCGAAAAAGCTTAAAACTCTGCACCATCAGTCACTATGAATAGCTATTAAAAAAATATATTCCTATTTACATCAGTACGTATGGTGATTGAGCTACTGTATGATTTGTTCCTGGCTCTCAGTCGGCGCCTTAGCATTGTGGCAGCACGAGATCTGAGGACTATCCTCCCTCGAGTCCTCCCTACTTGCTTCATTCTCGTGGTGGACGTCCGTTTCGATGACAACTTCGTGACTAGACTTACAGCATTTCTCTTCGGGCGGGGGTTCCTGTTTCTTCTTGCAGCAGCCCTGCCTTTCCGTTCGCAGTAGTTGGACGTCTTCTACGCTAGGGCTGTCCTCCTTTTCGCTTTCTGTGTAATGTCTGCGGGATTCTTCGGCTTTCTTGGCGCGAGCAAGTCTTGAGGGGCACTGCTTAGCGCCGTAGTAGCAGGTGGCGTTAGAAGGCTCGCCGGTGGAGCCATCTTGCGGCGCGGCGGGGAAGTAATGCGATGGTTGGATGCAGCTGCGCGTGCGACACACGTATAACTCCGAGTCGGAACTCTGTGCGGAGTCTAGCAATGGCGGGGTCGATGTTTCAGCTGCAAAAAAAAATTGAGGTGAGAAAAGAAAACATTGGAACTAACGGAACCTAAATACATGACCAAGGTACTAATTAAATGTATCTACAAGTCGCTAGGTGTGGGGGAAAAAGGCATAAATCGCATTAGGTGGGTTTATCTGCTGCTATAAAATAATGATAAAAATATACTAGTGATATAATTTTGTAAAGGCTTGCGAGCTTATTGTCAATGAGGCTTGTCGGGCGTGATATGATTAGCGGCTTATGTGATAATTTATGTAGGTTTAACGAATTTTCTACTCTAGCGTACGTCTTAATAGTTGTCAATTTAGCGTGTGACGTGGAGGATGGGCATTAACGGCGGAGGTAGAAGCACAGGTAGAAGTATTAACAATTCTACTCTACTTTTTATAGGCGTCTTTATTATGTAGGTATTGCCACATATTCGGATGTAAGTAACGGGTGCAAACGAGATTCAACTCTACGCAACATAAAAATAGGCGTCATATGCCACCGCGGGGCAAAGGAAGCAGGTGTAAAAACGAGTATCTACGCTACATGTAATAAGCTTCGTAATGTCACTGCGGGCGGTAGGGCTCGGGCGTCAGCTGCGTGGCGGCCTGCTGCGTCTCGATGGCGTCCATCGAGTGTGTATAGCAAGTGCAAGCGAGTATCAACTCTACGCTACATGTGATAAGCTTCATAATGTCACTGCAAGCGGTAGGGCTCGAGTTTACGTAGCAAGTGCGCAATATGTCACTGCGGAGGGGATATGTAGCAAGTACAAGGTAATATCAACTCTACGCTACATGTAACAAGCTTCATAATGTCACTGCGGGCGGTAGGGCTCGAGTTTACGTAGCAAGTGCGTAATATGTCACTGCGGAGGGGATATGTAGCAAGTGCAAGGTAATATCAACTCTACGCTACATGTAATAAGCTTCATAATGTCACTGCGGGCGGTAGGGCTCGAGTTTACGTAGCAAGTGTGCAATATGTCACTGCGGGGGGGATATGTAGCAAGTACAAGGTAATATCAACTCTACGCTACATGTAATAAGCTTCATAATGTCACTGCGTCATGAGCAGTCTGCCCATCATATCTTGTGGGAGTGTGATCTTTGGAAACATGAACGTGATATAATGCTTAATTCAATACAACATACATCTGTTTCCGCAATTTATTACACCGATCTTGTCGCGACAAGGAAAAATTTCCGTGCTTTTAAGCGATTTTGTGAAAAATATTATTGGCAGGTAGTTGCTAATTGCTCATAAGATAGGCCCCCTTAATTTAATTTATTGTCCGTGGTGCATAATCTTTTTCTTAAAGGTTTTAAACCTTTGTTTGTCACCTGTCATCCGCTTTGCAATGGAGGGAAGTCGAACCTTAATTTCGAACTCCTCCTATGTTCTTCTGATTAATTTCGTTGCGGGTCCAATGACAGTTTAACTTTCCCCCGGGACAAACTTGACCTTCATTGGTTGGGTTTTTGTGGCGGTCAAGCTGTAGATCCTGGCTACACAGGAGTTGCAGTGGTGGGAACGAGAGGTGGGAATAGTCCCGTACATGTGATAAGCTTCATAATGTCACTGCAAGCGGTAGGGCTCGAGTTTACGTAGCAAGTGCTCAATATGTCACTGCGGAGAGAATATGAAGCTAGTGCAAACGAGTATCAACTCTACGCTACATATAATAAGCTTCATGTCACTGCGGGCGGTAGGGCTCGGGCGTCAGCGGCGTGGCGGCCTGCTGCGTCTCGATGCCGTCCATCGAGTGTGTATAGCAAGTGCAAGCGAGTATCAACTCTACGCTACATGTAATAAGCTTCATAATGTCACTGCGGGCGGTAGGGCTCGGGCGTGAGCGGTCTGCGTCTCAATGGCGTCCATCAAGTGTGTTAGCAAGTGCAAGCGAGTTTCAACTCTGTGCTACATCTAAATATGTCACTGCGGAGGGGATATGCAGCTAGTGCAAGCGAGTATCAACTCTACGCTACATGTAATAAGCTTCGTAATGTCACTGCGGGCGGTAGGGCTCGAGTTTACGTAGCAAGTGCGCAATTAGTCACTGCGGAGAGAATATGAAGCTAGTGCAAACGAGTATCAACTCTACGCTACATGTAATAAGCTTCATAATGTCACTGCAAGCGGTAGGGCTCGAGTTTACGTAGCAAGTGCGCAATATGTCACTGCGGGGGGGATATGTAGCAAGTACAAGGTAATATCAACTCTACGCTACATGTAATAAGCTTCATAATGTCACTGCGGGCGGTAGGGCTCGAGTTTACGTAGCAAGTGCGCAATATGTCACTGCGGAGGGGATATGTAGCAAGTACAAGGTAATATCAACTCTACGCTACATGTAATAAGCTTCATAATGTCACTGCGGGCGGTAGGGCTCGAGTTTACGTAGCAAGTGCGCAATATGTCACTGCGGGGGGGATATGTAGCAAGTACAAGGTAATATCAACTCTACGCTACATGTAATAAGCTTCATAATGTCACTGCGGGCGGTAGGGCTCGAGTTTACGTAGCAAGTGCGCAATATGTCACTGCGGGGGGGATATGTAGCAAGTACAAGGTAATATCAACTCTACGCTACATGTAATAAGCTTCATAATGTCACTGCGGGCGGTAGGGCTCGAGTTTACGTAGCAAGTGCGCAATATGTCACTGCGGGGGGGATATGTAGCAAGTACAAGGTAATATCAACTCTACGCTACATGTAATAAGCTTCATAATGTCACTGCGGGCGGTAGGGCTCGAGTTTACGTAGCAAGTGCGCAATATGTCACTGCGGGGGGGATATGTAGCAAGTACAAGGTAATATCAACTCTACGCTACATGTAATAAGCTTCATAATGTCACTGCGGGCGGTAGGGCTCGAGTTTACGTAGCAAGTGCGCAATATGTCACTGCGGGGGGGATATGTAGCAAGTACAAGGTAATATCAACTCTACGCTACATGTAATAAGCTTCATAATGTCACTGCGGGCGGTAGGGCTCGAGTTTACGTAGCAAGTGCGCAATATGTCACTGCGGGGGGGATATGTAGCAAGTACAAGGTAATATCAACTCTACGCTACATGTAATAAGCTTCATAATGTCACTGCGGGCGGTAGGGCTCGAGTTTACGTAGCAAGTGCGCAATATGTCACTGCGGGGGGGATATGTAGCAAGTACAAGGTAATATCAACTCTACGCTACATGTAATAAGCTTCATAATGTCACTGCGGGCGGTAGGGCTCGAGTTTACGTAGCAAGTGCGCAATATGTCACTGCGGGGGGGATATGTAGCAAGTACAAGGTAATATCAACTCTACGCTACATGTAATAAGCTTCATAATGTCACTGCGGGCGGTAGGGCTCGAGTTTACGTAGCAAGTGCGCAATATGTCACTGCGGGGGGGATATGTAGCAAGTACAAGGTAATATCAACTCTACGCTACATGTAATAAGCTTCATAATGTCACTGCGGGCGGTAGGGCTCGAGTTTACGTAGCAAGTGCGCAATATGTCACTGCGGGGGGGATATGTAGCAAGTACAAGGTAATATCAACTCTACGCTACATGTAATAAGCTTCATAATGTCACTGCGGGCGGTAGGGCTCGAGTTTACGTAGCAAGTGCGCAATATGTCACTGCGGGGGGGATATGTAGCAAGTACAAGGTAATATCAACTCTACGCTACATGTAATAAGCTTCATAATGTCACTGCAAGCGGTAGGGCTCGAGTTTACGTAGCAAGTGCGCAATATGTCACTGCGGGGGGGATATGTAGCAAGTACAAGGTAATATCAACTCTACGCTACATGTAATAAGCTTCATAATGTCACTGCGGGCGGTAGGGCTCGAGTTTACGTAGCAAGTGCGCAATATGTCACTGCGGAGAGAATATGAAGCTAGTGCAAACGAGTATCAACTCTACGCTACATGTAATAAGCCTCATAATGTCACTGCGGGCGGTAGGGCTCGGGCGTGAGCGGCATCGAGTGCGTATAACAAGTGCAAGCGAGTTTCAACTCTACGAAACATGTGAATAGGCGCTATATCACTACGGGGGGATATGTAGCGAGTACAAGGAAATATCAACTCTACGCTACATGTAATAAGCTTCATAATGTCACTGCGGGCGGTAGGGCTCGGGCGTGAGCGGCGTGGCGGCCTGCTGCGTCTCGATGGCGTCCATCTCCTTGCACAGCTTGCCCTCGCACACCTCCCAGCTGCATTTGGCGGTGTTGCACCGGTCTTGGGGACGAGGAAGGTGTTAATCGAGGAAAGGTTTAAATGAGGCGTAAGCGTCAAACATCGAGAACACAGCCATTTAGCCGTATAGGGATTCTATAGTAGTGCGGAAACAGTAGCCCGATTACGACGCTACTGAATACATTTTTTATGTTGATTGACCAATCTACACTAATATTATAAAGAGGAAATCTTTGTTTGTTTGTTTGTTTGGTTGTAATGAATAGGCTCAAAAACTACTGGACCGTTTTTAAAAATTCTTTCACCATTCGAAAGCTACATTATCCTCGAGTAACATAGGCTAAATTTTATTTTGGAAAAAATAGGTTTCCGTAAAATATTATGTAGATAATGTAGTCCACGCGCGCGAAGCCGCGGGCGGAAAGCTAGTATTACCTAAAAGCAGACCAGTGAGAAATCACTGAGCACTATGTGCACGTGCGATAGAGGAGGCCACTGTCTGTCTCACCCCCCAAAAAAGACCTTTTTCAAGATTAAGATCGTTTTAAATGCCCGGGGGCCCTAATGAGTTAAAGACGGCCCTGCCTAAAGGAGCTTAGCATTAAAATTGCCGCTAACTTTGACTGACTGATTTTAGACGACAAGTGGAGGAGATAATATAGCTAAGACTTACCAGTATCGTCGCATTCGGGCGTGCATATGACGTTGCGCTTCGTGCTGAAACACTGCATCTGCAGCCGCGTCAACTTTGGTCCGAATAAGAAGTAGCCTGGAAAAACCACATGAAAGTAAAACGAAATAATTCACGTAAAATTCGTTGGACAACACTGAAGAGTCCCACATATAATTATGACTATTATAGGAGGGCGCAATGCTGGGTTATTCATTCCGATTTTTGCCACTTGACGTTTTAGTATCATTGGACTCCTATCTTCATCAACTATTGTCTCGTCTCCCTGGGTAATCTAAAATAGATCCATTCCTAGCAATAAGAATGCCTAAACAAAATTTTTATTTTGAATGTTTGTTTTGTGTAGTGCAACAAAAAGGATCTATCTAAAGCCCGGTTTTCACCAAGGCGGAGCGTAGGAGCGCGTTTTGAATAACCAATCAGATTTAAATCTGTCAATGTCATTAAATCTGAATTGCTTATTCAAATCTCAGCTCCGCTCTACCTTGGTGGAAACCTAACTACACTTCGAGGATCCTTTCAAAACAGCAAGTTTCTCTCACCCAGCATCATGCCGAAGACCACGGCGAGCAGCAGGTGCACGTTGTACACCATCACCGCCAGCATCAGCAGATAGCCCACCACGTTGTGGATGGCGAACACCAGCGACTGGTGCGTGTTCACAAGCACCCTGGAATGAGTACCTAGTGTTGAGTCGACGGAGCTTCTTAAAGGGATTTAATCTGGTTAGACTTTAATTCGACGATGTTTTTAAAGAATTTTAACCCGTTCCCCTCCGGCTAAGCTAAATACTTATGTAGCTTATGGTAGCCCACCACGTTGTGGATGGCGAATACCAGCGACTGGTGCGTGTTTACTAGCACACTGGAATGAGAAGTGTGGTGAGTCGAGAGATCTTTACCTCCTAATGCAAGTTGCAGACTAAGAGCTAACTTAGTTTACCCTTTTGGTCTGCAACCGGCATTGGGGTATGTATTTTTTTTCTCAACTGTTAAGTATCTACACAGTAGATAAATCAAACAGTACGGAAGCTTCATACAAACGCTCGAAATCAGACTCACGCATACAGACGCACGCTTTACACGAGCTCTAAGCGAACCTCGCAGTCCATCCGTCGCGAGTGTCGCGCGCGTTGTGTTTTTAATAATAATTTTATTGCATGCGCTGTCCACTGTATTTTTAAAAACATGCCACCAGTGTATTGCGTAGTATACGGCTGCTTGAACTCGGCATCTTCAAAACCAGAACTTTCATTTTTTAAACTTCGTAATAATTCTGAATTGTAAAAATGATTAAATATTACTTTTTAAATAAAGTGCTTACATCTAATTTTGTAACACAGTAGATAAATCAAACAGTACGGAAGCTTCATACAAACGCTCGAAATCAGACTCACGCACACAGACGCACGCTTTACACGAGCTCTAAGCGAACCTCGCAGTCCATCCGTCGCGAGTGTCGCGCGTTGTGTTTTTACTAATAATTTTATTGCATGCGCTGTCCGCTGTATTTTTAAAAACATGCCACGAGTGTATTGCGTAGTATTACTATACGGCTGCTTGAACTCGGCATCTTCAAAACCAGAACTTTCATTTTTTAAACTTCGTAATAATTTCGAGAACTTTCCTGCCCCAACGGCCATCGTCTCTACGAGCTATGTGCCCCGCCCACTGCCACTTGATTTTAGCAATTCTGCGAGCTATGTCGGTTACTTTGGTTCTCCTGCGGATCTCCTCATTTCTGATTCGATCACGCAGGGAAACTCCGAGCATAGCCCGCTCCATCGCCCTTTGGGTGACCTTGAGCCTTCTTATGAGGCCCATAGTAAGCGGAAGCGGACGGGCTGGAAGACGTAGCGTGGGCAGGCCTCCTACTAGGTGGACCGACGATCTGGTAAAGGTCGCGGGAAGAGCCTGGATGCGGGCAGCGCAGGACCGTTCATTGTGGAAAACCTTGGGGGAGGCCTTTGTCCAGCAGTGGACGTCATTTGGCTGAAAAAAAAGAAAGAAATAATTCTGAATTGTAAAAATGATTAAATATTACTTTTTAAATAAAGTGCTTACATCTGATTTTGTAATAGTTCTTTTTAAATTACTATGTAATTACGCTTTTTAACAATTTATGTGTTCTATTTGATAAAGTAACTAATTTGCTCCGCAAGCTTTTGTACTAAGTGATGAACTGTACCTATTTAAAATGAGGCAATAGGTAGGTATATGAAAGTAAGTATCCGGTATTTTATTTATGAGAATAGATCTTCTACCGGCCTCTAATAATACTTAATCAATTTATTCGATTATGTATTCGATCATTAAAGAACCTAATTAACGTTTTATTTTTTTGTTAACTACTTAGTCAATTAATTTATTCCATTAGGTATTTGATAATTAAAAACCTAAATAAATGTTTTAATAAATAAGTAAGTAAGAACCTTATTATTTTATAAAGATTAAGAGTGCCAACCCTAACACTCAGTTGAAGTGTAGGTATTTAACTCGCAGAAAGGGCTAAGTTTCCGTACTGCTTTAGCTCATATACAACGTGTCCCAAAATTCAAGGATAAGCCGACGCCACAGGATGGACATAGTCTTGACTACTTTAGGAAAAATAAAGAAAAAAATCTATCTCAATTATTTTTTAACTTACACAATAAATTATGAAATTCGACGAAAATTGACACCCCTTATGATATTTTACATTACCACGACCACAATTTTTCAAATATTCCTGTTTTTCTGTTTGTATCGGCAACATAAGTAGTGCTGCTGTCCATCCCAACTCTTAAAACCCCCAGAATCCTTGCAGTGTTTACACAAAAGTTAATCAAAATATGTTATTTCCTTAAAATCTTCAACGATTTTTACTTTCACTCCACTTTGACTCATCGTTTTGTAAAAAAAAAGTATGAACACTACTACGGCAAGTTTTTTATAAAGTTGACGCAACTATCCAAGATTCCAAAATGGTATAATACTCTAAGAAACCTAGTCACAAAATAGATATGCGTACCATTTTTACAAGCACTTCGCTAGTTAGTTAGTATGGGATAAATCTTGCAACGGAATTTAAAACCAGTTCTCCTTAACCAATTGAGCTGAAATTTGGTATACTTGTGTTCGTACGATGACAATGTAATATTATGGTACCATTGAGCTGGATGGAGTCTGGAGGTGGCCATAGGAACTCTTAACAAAACGGCGGAATTGCATCTAGTTTGGGTTCGTTGGACTTGTCTTTTCGAGCACTTTAGTGCTAGATGATGTCCAGGGTCCTGATGATGAAGTCAAGAGGTGGCAGGAGCTGGCCATAGGAACTCCTAAACGAAACAGCGGAAGCTTATCGAGTTTGGGTTCGTTGGATTTGTCTTCCTGAGCACTTGGGCCATGAGATTGAGAAACAACTAAAAAGTTTAAAATAAAGTTGTAATAAAAAAAAACTTTTTTAAAAACAAGCTTGACTTCGTTTGAAAATTATAATTGACTTCATCATCAGGACCCTGGACATCATCTAGCACTAAAGTGCTCGAAAAGACAAATCCAACGAACCCAAACTAGATGCAATTCCGCCGTTTTGCTTGTAAAAATGGTACGCATATCTTTTTTGCGACTAGTTTTCTTAGAGTATTATACCATTTCGGAATCTTGGATAGTTGCGTCAACTTTATAAAAAACTTGCCGCAGTAGTGTTCATACTGTTTTTTTACAAAACGACGAGTCAAAGTGGAGTGTAAGTAAAAATCGTTCAAAATTTTAAGGAAATATCATATTTTGATTAACTTTTGTGTAAAAATTGCAAGGATTCTGAGGGTTTTAAGAATTGGGGTGGACAGTAGCACTACTTAAGTTGCCGATACAAACAAAAAAACTGAACTATTTGAAAAATTGTAGTCGTGGTAATGTAAAATATCATAAGGGGTGTCAATTTTCGACGAATTTCATAATTTATTGTGTAACTTAAAAAATAATTGAGATAGATTTTTTTTCTTATTTTTCCTAAAGCAGTCATGTCTAGGTCCAACCTGCGGCGCCGGCTTATCCTTGAATTTTGGGACACGTTGTATATACTGTGGTATCTACGTCACGTTGTTAGCGTTGACTACTCAGATGATTAGCAGTTGCTTACGAAATCGGTCACGACACGAAAATTGGATTAGGAAGAAGCCTAAACACGTACGAGAGACTAAACTAAGTTTCATCTTTTGCCATCCATATTGTTAAATCCTTAGTAGACAAGGAAAAGCTTAGTTGACATCCCCAAACAATTTGTAGCAGCTGATCGGTAAAATATCGGATGCAGGCAACGCAGGACCGGTTGTTTGTTATGGAAATCCTAGACGAAGGCCTTAATCCAGCATTGGATTTTCGGCAGAAAATAATTTTATCACATTCCACCAGCAAATAAGCATGCGTGGTATTCTATGTAGTGTATGTGTTGGTTAGGCATGCATTTGTGTTTTCAAATTGAGGAGATTATTTTATATTGTGAAGACCAGGGTCACAGGTATACTAACCGCACACGGAGAGACGACCAGCGGCTGACCTGGCCGGCGCTGGCGTTGCGGCTCGTCGTCGGCTCCATGATGCCGGCCTGCTCCCTGCAACGAGGACATAAAGCTCAATACTAAGTTAATTCGCGGGAAAACTACAGACTTTTTGTCGACCTATAGTTTAGGCTTTGTCTTGGAACGTCAGTCAAATGTGAAAAGTCCGCTGAATATAAATTGAACATGGACCTATAAAAAAAGTCGGACGGATTCTCATCAACAAAATACTGTGACATTAGGATACACCAGCTTGCCTGTACGTACAGGCCGGCACGCACACATTCACACCCTGTTACACCACTTCGAGTGCAAACTTCACACAGTTGACACATTTAAGCAGCGAAAAAACAACACGAATACGACATGTGTGATGAAATTGTGTAAAAACCGTTCTGTTCGAACAAACAAAAATTAAGGAATCACATTTCACAGGCAAAATAATAATCCAATCACTTATTTCCCGACATTAAAATATTGAAATTAATTGAAATCAAACGTCATTCACTCGAAAAAATAATACGTCAAAGACCAGTGTTCTCAGTTATTTACGTGGGAAAATTACCCGAAATATGGGAAATTAATAATGATTTTAGGACTTTTTAGTCATGTATTACGCATACTATGGAAATAAAATAATTTATCATAATAATTGTGTTTTAATGGGATATATTTTCATGGGCAAATTTGATCCTTCCCAAAAATGTGGAACTGCGAAATTCAAATTTTCTTACATTGATTGCAAGTCAGTGTCAGGTTGTATGTTAAAAAAAATCTATCAGAGATAATAATAATATATTGATGATGCATAAGATTATGATTATAATGTACACAAGATTCGTAATTTGTAACTGCGTGAATCATTTTTGATCCACATTATGTACATACCCTGACACACTGACTTGCAAACAATGTAAGAAAATTTGAACATTGAAAATTTCGCGCCTACCTCAACGCATACACCTTTCATCCTTTTAAAATGGCACGGAATAATTCTGTCTACATTTCCAAGTAACATCTGCCGATCTATGATTTTCTTAAAATAAATGGGTAAAATGTTTTGGCTAACATGGCATCCCTAAATTCACTCACACAATAGACAAACGCCAAAATTTTGCGTCACAGTTTTGTTGTAGCCCGAGTTCCGTCCGCCTTTTTTTATAGGTCCATGAAATTGAATTAATCAAAACCGCAAGAAATATCGACGGGTCGACCCTCGAAGCCTGGTCTCCGTCTTCTGATCCGCAGGTTGGTGGTTTCCGTTTTATGCAGCTGTATTTTTGAGTTGTTTGGAGTCACCAGCCGACCCCCGCATCATCTTTCTTCTCCGCAATTTTATTCCTGCTGTGGCTATTTACACGCCACACCATCACACACTCGGAAATGCTCGCTTCGCGTTTACAAAAATAAGTTGTGTAGCATACGGGTATAGTTTCTTGCTTCTTGAAGATTTTGTTTTATACAGAAACCTCAAAAGGTACAATTGTTTATCTCAAACAAAACATATCCATTGAATCCTTGGCAACAAGACCATTCTCTCAGAAGTATGATTTATGAGTTATTTTAACAATAGCCTATTTGATAAATCAGCGTCAATACCATTCTATGTTCGATAATTAATTATCTAACGAATTTAAGTCATTTGATAAATCACACTTCCTGATAACTGTACCGATAAGATCGAACGTAAGTGAACAAAGAATTTGGCATTGACACACTAACTGCCCAGGATACGTTCACTCGTGCTTAGCGATTGATCATGTAACTAGCTGACCACGTCACTAAAGCACCGGATAATGGATACCGACAGTTACCGACTGTTTAGCAATGGATACTACCGATTAATTAAAGTGTTTGTTAATTAACAACTTGATTAATCTATGTCAACCTAATTTCTAATCAGTGTAGTTACCATTTTGGGAGATGAATATTGAGTAATGTGACCTTTTATGGAATGTTATGAGAATGACTGACACAGTGAAATGGAATTAATTCAACTTTGACCCAGATTTGGCCCTTTATGACAATCATAATTAGGGCACATGATAGGGCAGCGTAGCGTAGCCCTCTTATTGCGGACTAAAAGAAATTTGTGGCAGTTACCGTAGCCGAAAGCGGCTTGGGAGTATTATATTAAGCTTTATGTCTATAGTATTTTGACAATCATCACAACTCAGTTTTCTATTTTCCCAACTTCCAAAAGAGAGTTCCAAATATCCTCTACTTTTTTGTTTAAATTTAAAAAGAGTATCGTTAGAAAATACGTCCACTCAAGTCCACTGGTGGTTGTTTCATAGTCTATTTCACGTACAAATATTAACTGTAATATATTAAAATCAAATATTAACTGTGCCTAAAGTCGGTATCATCATTCACCCATTAAATAGATTCCCAACAATCTTTCTATTAACAATAGCGACGATCAACTGTTTAATGTTTACTCTAGGTTTGTTTTTATCTGGCACATTGTGACTAGTGAGATTCTGTAGTCGTAGCACTGAGCTATTGTGCCTTTCGTTTGTATTTCTAATCACTTCATCATTGTTATGGATCTTAGATGGAACCTATTTTACCTTACGCTGTATGCAACTCCCGGGTTAATAACAGCGTCTATACCAGCTACACTGCTTCCCAAACTCTGCAAAAAATTGCAAAGGCCCAAGAGCGTCACTAAAAAAGTTTGGGAATCCCTAGAGCTAAGTAATATGTGCCCAACTTGCTACCGAAGGTCCGTATTCAGAATACAATAACTCGATTCAAACTCTAACCTAGAACCAAATCACAGGCTTGATTTGAATTTCTCAACATAGATGAGTCACTATCGCTTACCATGACTGTTTGTTATCCTAAAATGTTATACAGCTAGTCAGCTAGATTAATAACATATCTTTCATATCAACACGTGTGCCAGAACGCTGCCATGCTATCTGCATGTAGTGATGCTCATATTGTATGCAGAACCACTTTAAAAACGTGTTTGATAACTATAACTGAACTTGTTTCATTCTGTAAGAGGAAAAAACTTGTGCATCTTGTCTTGAATACCGTTTAATTTTCTCAAAAATACCAAATGCACTTGAAGAGGAAAAGGCAAAAGTTTTGAATGTCTTTTTAATGGTTCTCTTTGCTTGCAAATGGAGTTAACTAATCGCCCATTAAAAAGTAGGTAATTATGTTAATGTTAATGAATAACTAGATTTCGTATACGGCTATTTTATCTACTTTTATGACTTAGATAGAAGAAAGATGCAGCGTTATTTGATATTATGAGTGAGTTGTGACTCTTCCTGACAACAGATTACAAGCTTTTCGACACTATTTTCTAAAAGCTTAGGAGGCGTGAAGTAGTGCTGCAGATTTGTCACATCTGCTCCATACTCCTATAATTTGAAGGCGCCCTAAGGTATACTAGTTTCTACCTCTCGCATAGCAGGTTTCTTCTCTCATCAGATCGGAACGGGAACAGCTTCTGGTGCGCTTTCCGTTGTATCTCAGCCAAATAGACCTGCAACAAAGTCAAAGTTAACAAACATACTAAGGCTGGGTTGCACCATTTTACACCGCGGTTATTGTTATAGTTACGGTTAAAGTAAGGTGGTGCAACTTAGCCTTAAACTATGTCATTACGTGCACTGGACGAAATTACTGAGATCATTAGTTATTGGGAACACTTAAATAGTTCTCCTTCCAACTTGGAGATCTTAAACTTGCCCAAATCAAGGTCAAAACGCATTCAGAAATAAACAACCCCCTTATAAAAAATTAAATCAAATCGTCCTTTCAGTTCATCTCATCTCAGGAAGTTCTAATAATCATCAAGGCGGGAATTTAGTAGTAGCGTAGCGTAGACGATGATTCTTGAGACATACCTTCGACGCTTCGAACAGCACAGCTACGATGAACAGCGTGATCCATGTGAGCGCGAACGACCATCGCGTCTTGATGTTCAGACCGGGGAACATGAACTCGCCCAGGTCGTAGCCGAACCACATCCACATGTGCATCATGGTGGCTTCTGCTGGTAAAGGATATACGCTTTAGGCCCGGTTTCCACCAAAGCGGAGAGGGGCGGACCGACGCTGAGCGGAGAGGTGATGAAGTGGAAATATAACTATATCTGATTGGACTCTAGTCCTCGCTTTGGTGGAAACCAGGCCTTAGAATCCCCGCGGACGGACTACAGACATTTTATCAGCTGCAATAGTTTATTCGGCTTCTAATTTGTATGAATCGGCGGATACCAAATAGGTGTAAAGTTTCACACTCATGTTTCATACTTCAAACTAATGATTAACAGCCCGATTTTACTATCGGCCGCCAAAAAGTCTTTAGTCTGCGGGAAGTCTTAGGAATACACGCGCACTTTTAACGAGTTGGAGCGAACTTTCGCGTGTCAAACCAAGGATTTTTGTATCTCAATCAATCAACTGAAACTGAAATCCAATTATAGGAATAGTTCATTTAGATTTGATATGCTGGACCGTTCTGAGCGTTTAAAATTATAAATATGACAGATGCTTATCGACTAATTTACAATTTTGTTTGTACTTAGTTAAATAACAAACTCGAACCAATCTTATCCGCTTTGCAAGCATTGTTTATGATAGATTCCATACAGGGTCAACCCAATACAGAATGATGTGTTATTGACGGAAAAGATAGAATCACGACGCGACTCACTAGAAAATCCTATATTACGATTACAAAGTACCGCGCTATTATGTATCTACCGCAGATGGACAATTTCCAAAAACATTACAAAGTAGTCACTAAAAACAAATACATCGTTGTACCTGAGATTTAATTCATGCTTAATCAATCCCACTTATCGATCGTACAATCCACGAACTTATTAATAAAAGTCCACACAAAGTGTTTGGCGTTTATTCAAAATCCATTTGGCATTGCAGAACGCCGCGTTTACGACACTGGGTTCTGTACATTATTTGTCTGAGTTTTCACAAACTGTTAAATGTCCACACACCAAAAACACTTCTTCCAGAACTTCTCAAGTCAAATATTTATTGTTAAACTGTATTACGAGAAATTATCACGCCTAAGAATAATGACTTTGTTTTAATTAGGTACTCTATTCTAAGTTTTCTAGTTAGTTATGAGCAGTGTACACTGCATAGCGTCAAAAGTGGGACTAGTTATCTCAATCACTCTAGAGTACTGGCTGCAACGAATGTAGCTGTGAAGTGTAAACAGACTAAGAACAATGGAATAAATTTAGGCGTTGTTAACAAAACACAGCCCAATTTATTAATTGACGCGTTGTGCTCTAAGCTAGGCACAATACTAGTGTTTATAATAGAGCTACAATATTGTAGTGGATTATTTTTGTATGTTCAGTAACAAACCCAAATATCTTTTTAGTATTTAATAAACATCCCATTTGGACATCACTTTTACTGTCAATGAGTCATGGCCTTTAATCTTTTACTATTAAAATTAATTACAGATTGATTAGCCTCTTTATAGCTCTTTAGCTCTCTTCCTTTAGTTTTTATTAAAGTGGCACTTGTATTTTTACTACGAAAGCTAAATTCAATGGTTTATTTAAGGATTTATTGGGTTGTTTAAAATACTATCAATCCATTATTACTTAACTAACACTATTGAATGGCCTTTAAATGATTGAGAACTCATTTGATAAGTTGTTATGTATTTTAAGACAATGATCAAAGTTTCAATTAAAATCAGAACATTTATGCACTTCTTTAGTAATCCTTTCACTATTTACTATTTAGAAATTTTAAAAAATTAATCTACATGATAAAATAAGTTATTTCTTACAAACTATAAGTTTGAATCAAAAGTTTTAGTACCTACTTACAGTACACACAGTACAAACAAACTTGAAACATTATACTTCCTACTTTGATAATAATAGAAAGAAAAGTTTTGAAACTAGCTGGAGACATTTGGCTTAATTTGTTTTTTGTTGTGTTAAATACTGTATCTCATGTTGATAGCCAATAAATAAATAAACTACAGTAAAAGTCTTTATATTTTTCCAAAATTAACTAAAGTACTACTATAAATGTTGCCTTTCTACATATCATATCTACACAACAAATAGATTAGGATAGTTTGTTATCTTGCTGCAGTGTTTACATTAAGATAGATAAAATCTTTAAATTGAAAGAATTTTTTGAGCTACTTAAACAGTAGCTCAAAAAATTCTTTCAACACATAGAAAGATTCATTGAAATTATAAAACATAAACTCAAATACAATTTAAAAACTTCAAGAGAAAACTTTTAAATTAATAAAACTATTCATGGATATTCTTTACATTTGTTAAAATACGAAAAGGAAGAAGGTATAACCGGTAAAAAGATGAAAAATAACACAACACACACAACATCTGGTTTTTAACAAGGTTTATAGAGGATATTGGTAGGAACTTACCGTTATTTCCTGTAATGCACTGGGTTATCCCTCTTCAAACCACATGTCTGTTTACACACTGCAAACGCGATATCGCCTCTACACTTTATCAAACTTAGATAAAATAACTACAATACGAGAATGTACAGGCAGGTTCTAGGCTATCTTCTACTTGGGTGTTTTGCTCGTTGATTTTGATGGAATATTCATATCAGCTTACCACGTTTACACGTAAAAAGAAGGCTGACAACTTATGTACAATATTATGTTTATTCCAATGACGAAAAGGGTGAAAGTGAGCGTAATAATTAAATTTTGTGTAACAAGACTAACAAGGAAGATAAGAATTTTTCGTATTTCGCTTGACGTTGACAATTGTTTGACAATATTGACATTGACAGCCAGCTATTAGGTTTTGACTTGAGATTATTTTAACGTTTCTCAGATTATTTTTTATTGCAATCATACACTTCGTAATTGGTAAATGGCTAAATGCACAAGCCGTGCATGCCAAAAAAAAAACTTGTTGACTGACGTTGACAGTTGACACTAATGACGTAAAATAAGGAAAACAAATAAATTCTCTCCGCCTGGCTGCTAGATTCTAGATTTTACAAAATACAAATTAATTTTTGTTTGTGTACACGTCAATTAATTGTATTTAATTTAAAACCTAATTAAATTAAATTAGTGTCTTATTTTTTATATTTACCATGGAGAAGCCAAAAAAGAAACCTACCAAGATAGAAGAAATGACCAAGGAGCAGATACGCCAAGCTATCGTCAAGAAACGAGAATGTAATGCAAAAGCTCAAAATATTGTTGAGAGTTTGCTCGAGAAAAATATATCCGAGGAGTACTTCCTGCAGTGTTTGCCGGATATCAATCAGTGTCACTTCGAGGACGTTGTGGAAGAAAGGGCTATTTTACACATGTGTGGCTACCCCTTGTGCCAGAATATACTGTCTATCAAGGATATTCCAAAGCAACAATACAGGATATCTGTTAAAAACAACAAGGTTTACGATATAACTACAAGGAAGAGCTTTTGCAGTAATGGCTGCTACAAATCTGCCACTTACATCAAACAGCAGATGCTGACCAGTCCTCTGTGGTTTAGGGTATATGAAGAGATTCCAAAGTTCAATTTGCTTCCTACAGGTTCTGTGGGAGCCTTAGGACAAGAGGTAGATTTAGGAGTCGTGGAGAGAGCAAAACTCAAAACTGAAAGACCTTTTACCTCTATCAATGATTTTGCTCAAGCTTCTATCAATGAAATCACAGATGAAGATAACAATGTAGAACAAAACACTAATGAATCAGATGTAAGAAATAATCAAGATAAAGCCAAGGATACACCTCTTATTGTACAAGAAAATAATAATTTAATAACTGAAGCAAATGAAGCTATAATACAGAACAACCAACCAACAACAATAGAAAAGGAATCAAAAGAACAGAAGAAAAAACCTGTAGCAAATCCTTTAAACATTGTAGGAGAGATTATTGAAAAACCTGAACAGAAAATTGACCCCATTTTGTATGACACAAAAACTGCAACATCAAACAAGGAAAATACAAAAACTAAAACAGTCCTCAAGAAAAAGCAACCAGTAGTCACTGTTCTAGCAATTGAAGTAGAAAAATGTTTAGCCCAGTGGTTCACTATTGATACAATGCTTTTCCTCTTTGGAGAGGAGAAAGTCAAAGAAATATTGGCTGATAAAGGAGAATGCATCAAAGAGTATTTAAACAACTATGCTAACAGTACATTTTATAACTCAAACAATTATGATCAGTACCAGGCTTTATGTAAAAAGCTTAATATGCTAGAACTAGAGGATAGGCGGTATGATGCGCAAACATTGCAGAAAGAAACAAAACCATTGCCAGATTACTCAATTTTGCAGGAAGAGAGCAAAAAGATGCAGCTGAAAGTGCGGGCATTTTTAGCTGGGGAAACAGAAATACCAGATATATCAACTAATGTTATAGAAAAGCCTGAAGAAGCACCTGAAGAAGATTCTCAACTAACCCAATTGCCTTTAGTAGATAAAAATGCCCAAAATGCTCTCAGACGAAGAATAGTCTGTGAACATTTGAACAAAGTACTGCCAGATATACTTAAATCTCTAGGACTGTTAAGTTTGTCTATAAGTTCTGATGTTCGCCTCCTTGTGAACACATTTAAGTTGAAAGCTAACAATATTATGTTTAAGCCTATCCAGTGGAATCTTATAGCAATAATAGTGATAAAGTTATTGTCATTGAGAGATAAGAGGCTTCATTACTTGTTGGGGAAGCAAACAGCATATCAGCATCTTCAGTTGCTCCTTTTAAGTTATAAGCAAGATGGTGGCTATCTGGACAGGCTTATATCATGGCTGACAGACATTGATCGGTTATTGGACACAAATGATACACAACTAACTGTAGAATAATGTAGAAAAAATATCGAGGCTTTAAAGACAAGATGAGCAGCAAGTTTTACCTTATTATAAGAATAAGAATAAGAATAGTACAAGTTTTACAAAACAATAAAACTTGTATTATTGAGCAGAGACGATGCACAGCATCTGGTGAGAGAGATGCGTCTACTTCCGGTGTAGTTTTCTACCTTTTTATACCTTAAATGACGTCATTTCAGAAGCAGCAGATCTGTTTATAAGTCTGATCCAAGAGGTTATCCATAAACACACAACCCGCATTAGGACTCGACGTAAAACCCTCCCAGTCAAACCCTGGATTACACCTGGCGTTGTTCGTTGCATCCGTAATAGAGATAAAATGCACCAGCGAGTGAAGAAATTTCCTGATAATCTAATCCTGAAAATTACCTACATTCGATATCGCAACTTCTGTAATTCTTTGATACGGAAACTAAAGCGAACGTACGAAACAAACGAACTTCTTAAAGCCAAGAACAATCCCAGAAACACATGGAGGGTCATCAAAANTATAACATACTATCTTAGCCTACATACAATAATTTACTTTTTTTGGCGGTGTTCCTAGCACTATACCTACCTAAATAAAAATATAAAAATGTTTTCCACTTATAAAAAAATCACGATCTTTTTTTAATCTGATTTTTTTCAACTCTGCTCACAGGACTTCCAACAGCAGCGACCCGCCCATAGACACCGAACACCTCTCCATAGAGAAACAAGCATTAACCTTGGCAGGACACTCTAATAAACGCCAAGACGCTCGTACAACGCGCCGCTCTAAAAAATCCATGAATCGGCATGCAGATAGTGTGCATGATGATCACTCCAGAGAATATCACAGTGGACGTAAGTGCTTATTGACTGAACATCTAACTAGAGTTAACTTTTAGCGACAATAGGTGACAACAATCCTAGAGTAGGAATGTTTTTATGATACCTTTTTTTTTCGTCAGGAAATGCATGTAATTGCATACCCACTGGCCCGGGGGAACCAGTGGGTTATGTGAGGCTCTCTCTGCCAGATGGGCAGGGCCTACTCACTAAAACCTGACGGTGTCCTCCCGAAGTCTTTGGGACGGAGCTGCGAGTTTTTGTCCGAGCTAGACGGTCTAGACATTCTTTCGCGGCTCCACCCCAGACTGGTGCTCGCTCTGTTTGAGCAAGCGACGACTGGCTTCAGGGGAGTAGTAGGTACCTCCCCTGTTCTTCGCTAACGGTGCGCGTGAACACATGCACGCGCCGCCGATTTCTAGGTTAAACTACCAAATAGCCTATTCATAATCAAAACTGTATTAAATATTACGGGAATACATTTTAAATAACAATATTATAGGTATGATGTACCTATAATACTCCACTTATTGATAATGAATGAGGAAAATATAGAATTACCTATAAACTGTGAAGTTATAATTGTATTATGGAATAATATCCCGGTATAATTGTAGCCTTAATTACTCGCTAGGATGCCGTAATAATGAGGCCATTTATTTTGATAATTTATAGCTATGACAGAATAGTACTATTGTTGTAACTTGTAGCTATAGCAAGCTCTTTCTTTATCGAATGATAATGCATGACGATTAGATCTTTAAATTCAATAATTTAGTTCCCTCTCTGATGAAAATAAAAGAGTAAACATTTTACGTTTTAAAAATTATGAGAAGAAGTTCGAAGTCGCAAATAACTCTTAATGTAACGCCAGATGAGTCCCAGCATTCAGCAGAGGGGCAGGCAGAGGAGTCGGAGGAGTGCCCGACGCCTCCTCCCTGCGAGGAAAGCGAGGAATTCGTGCCGATCAAGCTCATCAAGAGGACCACGACCTCGCGCGGCACCACGACGAAGAAGCGATGCCCTCCTGTTGTCCACTGCAGGTGACTAAATGATTCCTCTCAAAGTGCCTACTCCCAGTTGAGTCCCACCCAGCATACAGCAGAGGAGTTGGAGGAGTGCCCGACGCCTCCTCCTTGCGAGGAGAGCGAGGAGTTCGTGCCGATCAAGCTCATCAAGAGGACCACGACCACGCGCGGCACCACGACGAAGAAGCGATGCCCTCCCGTTGTCCACTGCAGGTAACTAAATGATTCCTCTCAAAGTGCCTACTCCCAGTCGAGTCCCAGCATTCAGTAGAGGAGTCGGAGGAGTTCTCCTATCAAGCTTATCAAGAAGATGACCACGACCACGCGCGCGATTACCACTAAGAAGTGATGTCCTCGTCTATATTGCAAGTATATTGAATATTATCACACTGTGTAGGTTTGTTGTCGACACGAAAAGAAGAATTGAATATAGTCGGCTTGCAAGTACCACCGAGAAAAAAGTGAGGTGTCACAGAGAATAGCGCTTACACGATCCGAAACCGTGAAAACTATACAAACAATACTCTGTAATGTTACAAATTGATTTTAAAGTAGCCCGAGATTTCACAATATTTTGACATTCGTAGACAGACAACAGTACCTACGCTTGTGATAGAAAAATATTTGTATGCGTATTGCGTATGACGTTTTATAAAATGATGTGGTTTCAGAAGTATTGCGTAGTTTAAAATCCCCTTGGCCATCTGAATGATACACTTGCCATGAAGTCATGACACAAGCATTGTAATCGTTAATCAATATTGTAAGTCTTATAATTTGATTTTTATGTTCTGATTGTCCATTTCCCAGTTCATCATCTTAATTGGCACCTGTCGTCCTTTCTTTACATTGGTGGAAGACATGTTGTTTCATAAAGTATGGCTATGGATGGATTATGCTCATTTACTTCTGATGAATTTCGTTGAATCAAAGACAGCAGGTCCTGGAACATCGTAATTACTTTTATTCTCTTTTACTTCAATCATCACTATAATTTAGTTCTCGTCAGTTTTATTAGATGCAGGACCCGTCTCTACTCAGGGATTAGAGTAACTCTCTTCGTAGTCGGGCACTCTTGTCAGAGTGGTCGTGGTTGCGCTGACGAGGTACATGGTGGGGTGATGTCATCTACGAGGGTAGCTCTCCTGGCGATGTGCTTCCATTAGAGTAACAGCAATATCTCATTTTACATTATCATTTCCAGAAAGAAGAAGCGGAAACCAGAATGCAACACCTGCTGCACACCTTGCATGCCCATGTGCGCTGCTCCGTGTCCGCAGAGCACGACCACCATGGCGCCCGTTACCACCACCGACTACTTGTATGTGTATGTCGGCGTGCCCAAGGGCTTGATCAACTAAGGAAAGAAGCTAGCACGAATGGCACATCGAAAGTAAGCTTAAATTCCGGAGGTGTAACGGGTCCACAGATCATCATGAAATTGTTTTTGACGTACGCGATCCAACTAATGAAATGGCACTAATGGCAGCATGCAATAAGTCCTCGTTTTGTGATACCAGCAACGAAATTGTCTTTGATTTCCATAATCAATGATGATTGCGAATACTTAACTTTTAATTTAGAGGGTATTTGCCACTCCAATGGGACCCATGATAAGTAAAATTAATGAATAGACCCCAAGACATTTTTCTTGGAAAATATGTAGAGCTTACGTAATGAGGGCTATCGTTTTTATACTTAACAGTTGACACCCCTGGCGATTGACATGACCTTACTCTACAGTGGCGCCATCTTGATGAGTGCAAATGCGATAGTCCTCCTATCACTTTAGCACTCACCAGTTGGTGTCACTGTCTTCGCTACTAGCAAGTGACAGGAGCTTACTCTACAGTGGCGCAAACTGGTGAGCGCTAAAACGATAGCCCTCATTGATTTTATCAAAGCTTTTGTTTCGATATTATCCTATGTAACTGAAATGTAAAATATAAGTTGAGTATTTGTGTCTACTTTTACCTAAATAATGTTTGTTTATTTAGTTTGTTACAAGAAAATAAAAGTTTTTTATCAGTCTAGACGAAATTGCCTGTTTCTTAGAATACTTCACAAATTCACAATAAATACAATTTTGTAAGTTTTCTTGGAAAAAGTTAAGTGCTCGCCGCATGGAATAGCGTTTCATAGACTTTTTGCTTTGTAAGCAGATTTTTAATAATTTTCTTTAAGATACTAATAAAATGAAAGCAAAAATGTTGTTATAAAGATTTATCATAGCATGAACCCGTGAAGATGACGCATTGTTTTGTTCAGAATCAAGATTATGACTTGCTATGATGGACAGGTGTTCGTCTGGTAATATTTCGACTTCGTATCGTCGCTGGCTGGACTGAAAGCCAAGTGCGTAACTTTTGTACAGCTGTAACAGGATTTCGATACGATTGTTGCTACTCCGACAATGACTAACACGAGTAGAGCCATAGGCCGTGTTACTAATGCCCATTTTCACCCTCAATCCCTAAGTTTTAAGTGACCCCTATGACAACAATTAACAGGAATTTTATTTTCATAGGGGTCACTTTAAAATTAGGGATTGATGGTTAAAACGGGCATAAGACTACTATATTCTGTACATAAACGAAAGATTGACGCAAACTAAGCAATATCTAATTCCAACATTAGGTATTCTAGTTTCCAAGGAGTCTAGTAACTATGGCGACTACAAAACCAATATAGCTTTCCAAATCCATGAGTCAGTTCCAATCGCGCGTGGCTTTCATACAAACATTTGCCCCTTGCAGGTTATATGGCCTAATAATTTACAAACACAGCTTCGGTAACAAAGCACTAAATAAATTGCCGTGAAGCGACCGAATCCATTATAATCCAAATTAATGGATATTTCCCAAAGAGGACCCCGTAGGCAGCCATTATGATGTATTAGAAAAGGCGACTAGTTCTATGGAGGGTATTCCGACATAACTTTGTAAATAGAAGATAATTTATACAGGGTGGAAACGATAAGTAATCACACTCGATTGATTCTAAACTATACAAGACAAGTTATCGAAAAATTCGTAAATGATCTTGAAAGTGCTTCACGAGCTCTATCAAACAGGATCAATAAGTAGATTACAAAATAAACTGGATCCATTTGAAAATTGTTTCAAATGCAAAACAAATGTAAATACTAACAATAGTACCTAATTGCAATAAACCTTTTGCCAGAATCTAACTTAATATCCACTGAGTTTGCAACTGCAATCCACTTAATACTACTAACTTGGTCAATTCCAGTTAACCCTTTAACTTCCGTATTCCCAGAACGCCCGCTCTAGTCCCACGCGCGGCAAGAGGTGTCAAAATAATGGGACCAGTTCCGCGCCGAAGCGATGTGCAAATATTTGCGGCTATGTGCGTAAATTGATCTATGTGCTTACAGTGTTTACTTACTGTCGACATAAGGTGACGGGGACGGTCATGTGCCTCATAGAACTATTAATTGAAGGGCCTTGTTACTCCGTTATTTTTATCATAGATTAAGGTCGTTTTTACAAGAATATTCGTAGGTACCTATTAACAAAATGTTCTTCATCAGAATTAAACTCGATCTGTATTTAAGCTCAGCGTATTTAATAAATTCACCAACAGTCAAATAAAGAAAGAGCAATAGGAACAAAAGGATTCCATTCAAGACATATAATAGTTAGTTATACTGAGTACATTCCATTTATTACATTCCACTTTCCAGTGAATAAAATCTAGGGCAACAGGGTCTCCCTATCCCCAAGAACTATCTCGAATAGCTAATTTCAACACTTATCGTACACGTATTAAATTATTGGACATACAGTTGTAACTTCGCGAAATTATCGGGTGAACGCGATCTTTAGTATCAATTTAACTGTACTTTTAAAACGTTAGTTTTGATATTGTTGTCACGGTAACCTAGTTTAAAAAATCAACAATCCCAGTAACTTGAATTCCTACTTTTGACTGTGTGAATACAAACGTAAAAATATAATTATGTATTTTTATCTTTCCCAAAAGCTACATCAACACAAACACATCCGACTAAATTTACACCATTCCTCTTTCCCGTCCAAAATTAGACTTGCGGAGTTAGAACATTCCAATTTTCCTCTCGGACTACAACTTTCCGTCGGTTCCCCATTTTAAATCTCTACACTGGACACAAGTTATAACCCTGCCACTGCGAGCGCGAGCTGGGTGAACTGGGTCAGCTGTCGAGTCGTCCCACGCAGGGCGAAAGTACCCCAAATCGGTTACTTGGGTTCACAACAAATCAATACCCTCAACAGGTGATGTGCAGTTCACATGCGTTTTATTAAGGGTTTTGTTAACGAATTTAACCTTACATGTTGAACTACGTACGTTTTTGTTTACACGTTCACCTTGTTATTCAAAGCACTTTCTGCATAAATGACGGGATGGACAACTATGTTTCTTAATTAATGACTTGCAATGAACAAACTATGAGCATTCACTGACCTAGTTCTTCCTCTGAAATCTAAAAGAAATGTTGTGGTTATTGGTGACCTGAACATTGACATAAAAACTGGTAATCACGACCGTCACGCGGCCGACTACTTGAACTTGACAGCAGCCTTAGGCTTGTTGCCAGCTCACTTACTACCCACCAGAGGTGATAACTGTTTGGACCACATCTTGTTGCGAACTGGAAGTACAGCCATTGCTTTAATATTAGACACCTATGTTACTGACCACTTACCCGTTTTACTTGGCCTGAAAGTAAGTCAACCAACGCAAGCTAAATCATGTGGGCTGCTCCCTCGCATTGACTACGATGCTATTAAAGCCGAAGTAGATAGTATCGACTTTTCAGCGGTACTAGAGACCTCTGATACCAATGCAGCAACAGATCTGTTTATAAGTCTGATCCAAGAGGTTATCCATAAACACACAACCCGCATTAGGACTCGACGTAAAACCCTCCCAGTCAAACCCTGGATTACACCTGGCGTTGTTCGTTGCATCCGTAATAGAGATAAAATGCACCAGCGAGTAAAGAAATTTCCTGATAATCTAATCCTGAAAATTACCTACATTCGATATCGCAACTTCTGTAATTCTTTGATACGGAAACTAAAGCGAACGTACGAAACAAACGAACTTCTTAAAGCCAAGAACAATCCCAGAAACACATGGAGGGTCATCAAAACCATTACCAATTCAACCATTCAGCCACAGTCTCCCAAAGAGCTGTTAAATATCTCGGCTACCCCTGAAGCGTCCATCAATGAGGTCAACAGGTTCTTTGCTAGCATAGGAAGGGAACTTGCCTCTAAGGTGGTCCCTATCGGTAACACATCCACAGTCCCCTCTTCTACCACCCCGGTACAAATAAATTCGTTTGTGTTGATGCCGGTTGACCACAAGCAAGTTCTAAACCTCATAGGCGCTCTACGTCTGGATTGCGCTACTGGGTGGGACAATATACCTGCTAGAGTCATCAAGCAATCGTCTCAGTCTCTCGTAATCCCAATTGTGCACATATGTAACCTGGCTATTGACTCTGGTACTTTCCCTGAAGCATTTAAAAGAGCCATTATTCACCCAATTCACAAGAGCGGGGACAGAGCCACCGCCAATAACTACAGGCCAATCTCTGTTCTAAGCTCTCTCTCAAAAATCTTAGAACGATTCTTAAATTCCTCTCTTGTGTCTTTTCTCACAAAATACAACATCTTAGCAGATAACCAATATGGCTTCAGGGCAGGAATCTCAACAGAAGACGCAGTGTTGAACTTTACGGACACTGTAGTCACCAAATTGGATCAGAAACTTAAGTGTTATGGTATCTTTCTAGACCTTTCCAAGGCCTTTGACACAGTCTCTGTCCCGATACTCGTCTCTAAACTGGAGCACATGGGAATTCGAGGCTCTGCACTCAACATATTTAAGGACTACCTTCACGGACGCTCCCAGAGAGTGAAGATAGATACAGTTGTTAGTGCTGATGAGGAACTGGGCTTCGGGGTCCCTCAGGGAAGCGTCTATCTTAAGCGGTTTAGATTTTTCATACAAAATGATTTTCCCGTTAATTCCCGTTCCCGTGGGAATTCCTAAGTATACTATAACCTGTCCAGGAGTATGAAGAATAATTGTACCAAGTTTCGTTAAAATCCGTCGAGTATTTTTTGTTTCTTTATGGAACATACAGACAGACAGACAAAAATTTTACTGATTGCATTTTTGGCATCAGTATCGATTAGTGTCCGACCGAATGTTCGGTTTCGGTTTCGTTTTCGGTTGAGTTTCGGTAAAAACACGAGTTTCGGTTTAGTTTCGTTTTCGGCGGCAAAATAACGACCGAAACCGAATGTGCATTCGGGAGTTTCCGCGCTGTTATCGGTCATGTTCGGCGCGTTGAATGAGTGAATGAATCCGATCAGAGCCAATGTCGTGATTCGCTCGCTTGTTTGTTTGCTATTAAAAGCCCGGTCTGTGAGCACGTAGAATTTTGTCCAATGACCCCTAGCTACCCATCCTT